CCACCTGCGCGAGCGAAAAGGTGTGAGTGTTGGATTCTCGAGTGCGGGCGAAGAAGGAGGCGCAACGCACCGCAGACGAGTCCTCAAGCCTATCTACATGTTGTTGCTGACCGCATAGCTGCGACACGAAGGCTGCGGACAAGAGGAAGAGCGTCAGTCTTAGGGAGACGGCGAGAGAGAGAGCGGAACCGGACTCACCTCGACCTCCCTGGCCATCGTGAGGCCGACAACGTGAGCGGACGACGTCGTAGGTGGAGGAGCCTGCGCGCAAGTGACGAAGCGAGTCAGTAAGCATCGCGAGGGATGAGGAGCGAAATGTCGCGCACTTTGCGGTCCCGTAGCAGCGCAGCGGTGTCGGCGTTGCGAAGGCGAAGGTGGTCGAGAGACTGCAGGGCGCACGAAGTTGGGTCAGCGAACGTCCTATGCCGGTGAGGGACGCCCGAAGGGTGAGGAGGAGCGAGGAGGAAGCGTGCCAACTCACTCGACTCGTCCGCCGGATCGCCTCGACGACAACGTCCATCCTGCTCGCCCGCTGCTGACCTGTGGGCGGAGACAAGGAGGTCAGCGTGAGTCTCCGGGAAGCGAAGGAAGAAGAGGAAGGGGACGAACTTCGGCGGCCGTTGACGCCCAAGTCCGGCTGGCAGGGCGGCGTGGACGACGTTGACGAGGGAGAGATGCGCTCGACGAGGAGTCGGAGGGTGAAGGCGCGGGTCGAGGGAGTTCGAGAGAGAAAAGGAGCGCGGAGGAGGAGTAAGGAGGTGTAGGAGGAGGAGGCTGGCGGGGTGAGGAGAGTGGAGGAGGTTGAGGGAAGGAGCGAGTGAGGTGAAGGAGGGAGAGAGAGGAAGGCGAGGAGAGTCCGCTTTTAAAGCACTGCCGCCCGCCGTCCCACCCGCTTCTCGCCCCTCCGTCTATGCGCATGCCTTCACGGCTGCGCAACTCCGGTGCATGCATCGAGGACCGTCTGTACGACGCACTCTTCCTCGTACGACGCAGACAAGCTCCCCATCTGTATGAGAGATCTCATTGCGGATCACACTCTCCTCGTTAGCCAGCTTGTCAAAGTCCGGAGGGATTTGACCTTCTCAAGTCTGGGTGGTACGGGTCGTACGAACTGAGTAGCACCGCAGCGACTGCGCCAAGTCTCTCGATGGCAAGCGCAGCCTAGCCAGCCTGCTGTGCAGCGCAGTATTCCGTACCACCCGGCCGCACGACCCTCCGCCCGTCCTCTTCTGCTCTCCTTTGCCTCGTCGACTTCACTCCGCCATGAACAGCTACGTCGTCGGACCGCCGCAGCTCAGCCAGCCTGGACCCCTCGCGCAAGCATTCAGCCTTCCCGCCCTCGACCAGGCCGCTGAGTACCTCCTCGCCAGCAACCCGTCTACCTTCGACAGCGTCTCTGCCGCCGCCCTCTACCTCGACAGCCTCAGGACCCCTCTGCCCGCGACGAGTACCTCCTCCACCGGCTTCGCGTCCGACTACGACGCCTCTCTCGCCTTCTCTTACGCCGTCGCCGAGGCTAACGACATCCGCCTCGACGAGACGCGCCGTTTCCTCGTCGTCGGCTGGACCCCGCCGTACAAGGGCCACTCGATCTTTGCCGACGGCGACACTTCACCCACCGGTGCCGTCGTCCGCGCCCTCATCACGACCTGCGTCATCCAGACCGGCATACCCTGTGTCTTTATCGTGCGTTTGCCCTTCGCGACGCCTCTCTCGAGCCACGCTGACACGCTCTCTATCTCCGCAGGACGCAGAGCCCTTTGCCCCGTCGCGCGCGACCCTCGAGGCCTTGCACTCGTCCGCTCAAGGCCCGCCCAACGGCTGGAGTTGGCTTCCCGAGCGCAAGGAGATGCTCTCGTACAAGAAGTGCTTCTTCGGTGCGTTCCCCTCGCAATCGAAACTTCTGCTGCGTGCTGACTCTCGCTCATCCAGGCCTCCTCCGCTACGAGCAGGCGACCTTTTCCGCCATCCTCGCCCTCGGACCCGTCGCGGGCTGGTATCTCGACTTGCCGGCCCTCGCCTTCGACGCGACTAGCCCCTTCCCCGGCTCCGCCCCCTTCCACACCGTCTCTTCCTTCCTCGCGCCTCACCCTCGCTCGCAAGTCCACGAGGACAGCGTCAGCGCAACGTCTCGTGGCCTCTTCATCTTTGTGAAGGGCATGTTCGAGGCGCTTGCGGACGCGGGAATCTCGGTCCCGTCGCCTTCTCTCGCGTGGGACACGTTCCGCGAGGCTTACGGCAAGGCTGGCCTGCTCAATGGGGGCGAACTCTTTCAGGTGCGCCCTTTCGCTTCTTCCTCCTTCTTGCCTCGCTGATGCATCCCTTGCAGAGCCTCCGCCAGAACGGCCACCCCGACTTGCCCGGCCTCGACGACAACGACTACTTCGCCTTCGAGCTCATGACCAACCACTGCAACAAGCTCCCGCGTGCTTTTGTCCACGGTGGCAACGGATGCGGCGCACGTTTTGGTGCGTACTACCACTTTGCCTCCTCGTCGTTCCTCGCTAACTCTGTCCTCCTCTCCTCAGTCGTCGTCCCCAGGCGCGGCGCGGACAACTGCGCTAAACTCTACGACCTGCTTCCCTACAACTGCACCCACTGCGGTCGTTTCGTCCCCTTGAGCGACTGGGAGACCCTCTAGATTTCGCACCTTCTCTTCCCTCCCTCTTTCTTTACGTTAGATAGCTCCTCTTCTGCTAGTTCCTCTCTCCTCCACGACTCCTCCTCTTCGTTCTGCTCGCACCCTTCGCCTTGTACTCTTCTCCCCTCTTTCGTTGTGTTCTTCCTTCGCGCTTCCCTCCCGCTGTACTGGCTTCCAACCCTACTCACGGCATATGTGCAAAGCGCTGTTCTCCGCCACCACACCTTGTCTCTCGCTCGCAAAGTCGAACAGCCTCGGAAAATGTGGACGTTTGCGTGCCATAGAATCTCGAATGCGGGTTGTCCTACGTCTTGCACCTCCTAGTCACCCACCTCTCTCGCCACCCCCTTGCACTTCAAGCCTCGCACCGGCGTCGGACACCGAGGTTGCGAAGGATCACCCCGCTCCCCCTCAGCCAGTTCCCACCCACCCGCTGGAAGCCCTCCTCGTTCCGATCCATGCCCAGTCTCCAACGCATCGTCTTGAGCGGCGCGCCTTCGAGCAGTTGCAACCCCGATCTGATTGCGCTCATCTTCACGCATAGGTCGCTGTCGAAGGTCGTCAACGAGGACGAGGCTGAAAGCGCGGCAAGAAGGGCGTGTGTCGTGCTCGTCGGGAGGAGCTCGTAGGACGGCTCACCGACCTCTGGATTGTGCGACTCTGTGTAGATGATCTCGAGGTGTTGCAGGCGTGGTAGGATGGCAACGATGAAGCTGACGAGGCTGCCCGGAATACTGTCAAAGCCCCATTCTGACCCTCGATCCTCCGGCAGGCCGACAAGCGAGAGCTTGTTGATGCGAGGGAACGCGGTGACGGCGTGGACGTAGGAGTGGAGCGAGTGCGGGCTCCCGCCGATGCTGAGGGAGCGGAGAGATGTCGAGTCGCAGAATGAGGGTGAGAGGAGTGATGCGACGAGGGATGACAGTCTGAACGGGGCGCAGTCGTCGTTCATCTCGTCGTAGTCCTCCGCATTTAGTGCGAGTGACGTGAGCTGGAACGGCTGTGCGAGCTGTATTGGTTCTACGCCTGCGCCGTCGACGATGCAGTCGGGATTTCGGATCGTGAGAGTCGAGATGTTGGGGAAGGCCGATACGAAGCCGACGAGGTCTGAGAGGAGGATTGACGAGTCGCACGTGTAGGATCGCCTGATGGTGAGCGAGAGAGAGTGCGGCGTCGGCATCGCGCATTGAGCCGGCGAGGCGTCGGACAAGATGTAGGGCGAGACGACGAGGTCGAGGGATGCAAGTTGGGTGCAGGCGGGCAAGATGAGGCCCTTCTATTGTCGCAAGCCGTCAGCATCGTCCCGCGAGCTTGAACGAGAGATGGACGCACGAGGACAGCCTCCGCTGCCGCAGGGAGTTCCGATTGCCCCTTGCTGAAGTCCAGCCGTCTCACCCTCTTCCATTTCTTGCTCCGCATCGGCGCCGTCCACATGTCCTCCTCTCTTAACCGCACGCTCTCCCAACAGCCGTCGCTCCCGCTCCCTTCGAACGCCTTCGCGAGGGTCGATATTGAAGACCATTTGCAGCGGTGATGTATTCCCTCGGCGAGGATGTGCGTGATGGTCTCGACTGGGAGGGGTTGGGTCGGAGAGAGTTGCGCGTGCGAAGGGTCCGTAGCGAGCTGCGAGAAGAGCGAGAGGTCAGCGAGTCGTTGGCGAGGTGGGCCTCGTCGCGGCTGCGCGCTCGTCCCCGGCGAGTTGCATTTGGCTGACCCTCTCAGATGCCCCTGTATCGCTCTGTACCCCGTCCTTGCCCTCGAGCGCTCGCCGTCGACCCTCTACATCCTCATCACAAATGGCTTGCCATCCTTCTACGCGCCTCCTGGGAGATGTGGGAGAGCGGTACGTACTGTTGTGGGGTTCTTAAGGTCGCCTTGTACTCCCTCCATCACCAGAGTCGGCTGCTCGGTGTTGGGGGCGAGTGATTGAGTCGTTGGGTGATGAGGATGGGGATCGTCGAGCGTGGGTGAAGGGCGCTCGCAGGGTTGGATGGTGTTGGCTGTGCGGTAGCATGAGTTGGACAGCGCAAAGCAGCAGTCAAGCTCGAGGGCAGCAACGAGGGCGACCAAGCAAAGCGAGAGCACTGTGAGAAGCGAGGGTCAAGGTCGCGGTTATCGCCGTCGCTCACGAACAGTCTCCTGATCCAGTCGTTGCTATAGGTCTGCTGACGATCTCGTTCTTGGTCTGCTGCTTCAGCAGAGACGGTGGACGTGTGGGACGGCGAGCGAAGAGAGGAGTGCTTAAAGTCCTCGCGCCCTGCTGCTCAGGTCGTGAAGGCGGGATCGGTGGATTGCATGTGCCCTGGAAGCGACCGAGGGTGAGGGAACAAGTCGCTGTCTGTGTCTGAGGAGAAAGGGCGAGGAGGAGGTTCTGGTGGAGGGAGATGCGAGGCTTGGGTCGATGGATGGATGCGCTGCGCCGTACCATGGGTGTCAGTTGCTGTACGGTGGATGCGCAACCGGTCTTGGGCAATACGGGGAACGGCAAGGGCGAGGCGCACCTCGAAGCGGACGGACGACTGGATCTCTTCACTCCTGTGGGTGTCGTTCCCTCAACTTGCGCTCTGGCTCCATCTTCTCCAGCTCCGCCTTTGCCTCCTCTCGCTGCCGTTCCCTGCGCCTGCGTTCCTCCTCGCCGCTTCCCCTCCCTTGATCCCCGAAGCGATTCTTCTCCCTCGCCCCCTCTCGCTGAGCAACGCTCCACGCCGTTCCCAGCGCGTCAGACACAGGCTCCGACGCCTCTCCATCGCCTCCCTCCTCCAGCTTGTCGCTGAGTCTCGCAATCGCAGCCGCCATCTGCTTCATCAGCTCGCCCGCTTCGCCGGGCACCTTCGCGTGCTCGTCCACCTGCTCTTCAAACTGTCTCATGGCGACCCTGACCTCCCTGACGACGGATTCGCGAGTAGGTGCACGGCAGGCGTTCTGGAGGTCTCGAAGGAAGCGTCGTGTGAGTAGGATAAGGTCGTCGGCGGCGGCGGTGGTGGTCGACATCGCGGTGGAGACAGGTGTGCAGCTGTGCGGTGTGCGCAAATCTGTAGAGTGGACGATGGAGAGAGAGTACGGGATCGGTGTGAGCGACTCTCTGGAAGGTCCGCGGAGCTGCCGGACTCCTCTTCTCCTCGAACGTTCTTGGTTCTCCTTCGTGCTTGCTCGGCTCGGTGCACTGCTCGCTCGACTCGCATTGCACAGCTCACCAGCATCCGTTCGTCTGCGAGGTTCCGCGGCCGCCTGTCTTCGCCGCAGCTACTCTCGCCTCGCCCCTTTCCTCGTCTTCTCCTGCTCAGCATGCCCCGCAAGTCGAAGCGCAAGTCGTCCGCCATGAAGAAGCATGCAGCGGAGCTCCGAGCCGCGGAGGATACCGGGTTGCAGGCCCTCAAAAGTGACCTGCGCGAGATTGGGGAGGACATCGATGTGAGTTTGTCGCCTGTGCGTCTCTCGCTCGATCAAGCGCACTCTGATGAGACTGCTTGTCATGCAGCGCCGCATGACGAACCCCGAGACGACGTCGGGCGACCCGCATGAGGAAGACAACCCTGTTCCCCAAGTCTCGATCCAGGACGCCACGACTCGCCTCTTCGCCACCCTCGCCGCTGAATCCAACTGGTCGATCAATGACGACGCGGGGAGCGAAGACGAGGATGTCGAGGATGTCGGCGGGAAGACGAGGGCGAGTCGGAGGACGAGGGCGAGTCGGAAGACGCGGAGAATGACCTGGACCCGACGATGGGCGGTCTGATCGTCGACGAGAGCGACGAGGACTTGCCTCGGGCCCGCCTCGAGCTCGACAAGTTCTTCGACGCCCAGAAGGAGGCGAAGAGGCGCAAGCTGGCCCTCACTGCAGAGTTGTACCAGGAGCTGGAGGAGGAACTCGCGAAGAGGGGTGGCAAGGGTCGCTGATGGCGTGCGGCGGGCTCGAGGTAGGCTTGGGTGCGGGAGTAGCCCTTTGTGGAATACGCGATCATCTCGAGGGCCAATTCGCGGTGTTGCTGCGCGAGAAGCTGGAAACGTCTCTCTCGAGCCGCTCGACCACGAACAATGTCTGTACGAGCGATCGATCGACCAGGAGAGTTGCTTGAATGCGAGTTTGCGAGCCAGAGGAGGACAGGTTAACGGATGAGGAACGCACAACGGGGCGAAATGATGCGGATGTGCGGTTGTCGTGCAGAAGTACATTAGGGGTACACTCGAGTTGAGAACGCGTAGAAATGCTTGTCATGCTCGTAAGCGCTCCTCCTCCCGTCTCCAGTCCCACTTGATCCCGTTCTGCCCGCCTCCGTCTCGTCGAGTCGGGTGTACCGGGTGCGCAGGTGTTCACCTCGTCTCGCCGCGGATGCGGCGGACGAGCTGCATGTCTGGGGGCGCGAGCATGCGTCAGTGCCAGTCGTGAGGCAAAGAAGGGGGGCGGCGGCACTCAACCTTCGGCTGGATCGTGACCCTCTTGGCATGGATTGCGGCGGGATTCGTATCTTCGAACAGCGAGACGAGATACGCCTCGGCCGCCTCCTGCAGCACCTCCATCGCAGAGGCGCGCCACCTGATTTCTGTCTTGCCCATCACGCTCTCGAGGATCTCGCGGACGAGCCGCCTGAATCTGCAGAGGTTCGAAACGAGGGTGAGCGTGTACACGGATGCAGATGAGCGACAGCGGGAACGTACGGCGTCTTCTGCAGGAGGAGCTCGGTCGACTTCTGGTAGCGACGGATCTCGCGGAGGGCGACGGCTCCGGGGCGGTACTGTCGGCAGGAGGTATCCTGGTCAGCTCGGGCAACTCTCCAGTGTCTGTCGAGGTCGCGAACGCACGCGGTGAGGCCTCTTGACACCTCCAACGCCGGGCGCAGGCGGTTGCTTGCGGGCAGCCTTGGCGGCAAGCTGCTTGCGCGGCACCTTTCCGCCGGTGGCTGCCTTTGCGGTCTGCGCCAGCGCGTCCAGCGAGTGTCAGCCAGTCGTTCTCCTGCCGCTCCGAACTCCCTCGCCCGAGAAACGCTGCCATTTGTAGTTGCGAAGGTCGAGGAGCTCACAACTTTCTTGGGAGCCATTGCTGTGCAGTGGTGGAACCGGAGATGGTCAGCGCTGTTCTTGGGTACACGTTGAGCACGATGCAGCTCACTTGGTTGTCGTGCGAGAGTTGTAGTTGTGCAAGGAGGAGAAAGGAAGACGAGGAGGGAGCGGACAAGTCAGCCGGCGCCCCACATCCGAGTCACGTGACTTGTCGGGTTCGATCCCGCTCCGCGACGACTTTTTGCGAAGGCTCTCTTGCGCCGTCTCTTCGTGGGTTCTGGCCGCTTGTACATTCAGCGAGTGAAATTGCAGTGTCCAAGTATAAGGGGTTTGTTTGCAGCCAGGACCCACGAAGGCGAGAGCAGCAGGAGGGTGAGGTCGCTTTCGGACTCTGCGCGTGTTCACCTGCTTCTTCCTGCTTCTCGCGAGAGGTTGAATGGCATTGTCAAGCTACACAGTCCTCAAGTAGAGCGGATGCGACCCCCACGGAAGACGTGGGCTTGATGTTGTCAGAGCTGGGAAGGTCGCCTCGCCAAAGGTTGTTCTTTCTCGGCTCGCTCAGCGTCCCTCGTTCAAGGATGAGCTGCAGAGGTGCCATCTTTTGCGCACCAGCGCAGACATGTTCTGCACGGAAGCTCGCCGCCTCAGAGAGCATCACGGTCTAAAAGCACAATCTTACAGGACTAGCATCTCCTCCTCCGGCCAACTCCCTCCCTGGGCTTCCCGTCCGAGCCTCCACACACGCGCGTCCAGGTTGAAGAGTTGCGGAGCATCGTGCCACCACGAGTCGAGTCGGACCTTGTCGAGATCGCCGCGGGTGAACTTGCAGCTCGCATGTTCGCCGACGAGCTCGTCGAGGTCAATGCCGAGCTTTGCGCAGCCTTGTACGAACTCCACGGGTGGTCCGCCGTCTTCGGGTGCTCCGTTGAGGACCCCGTGGAGCATACCGAGCGCGCGACTGCCGTACGCCTGCTCGAACCCGATACGCGCGAGGCCGGCACGACCGCCGATGCTGAACGTGCACGCGGCTGCGTAGATGTCATCTGCTGACGGCGGAGCGACGAGGCCGATCTTGCTGAGGTCGCCTGCGGATGAAGTCCATGTCAGCCCGTAGTGCAGCGCGAGGGAAACGGCGAGGCGATCGCGGCGAACCGAGAAAGACAAGTGCGATAATCTCGCCCTGCAGTCCCACCAGCTGCTTGTTGCCGCTGCCGCGCTTCTTGAGCTTCGTCAGGATGTCGAGCGCCCTGAGGAACGGCGCCGGCTTGTCTCCCTCGCGTGCGGCTTGAAGTGTTTGGACGAAGTCCGGGATGTACCGGAAGAAGTCAGCGAAGCGCTTCAGGTACGTCTTGCCGAACCCGATCTGGCCGACAGCCGTGCCGTACGCCCTGCTGTTGCCGAGGCGGCCCTCGGCGATCGCCTGCGCAACATCCGGCCTCGCCATCCATTCTTCCCACTCTTCGATCGTTGCCCAGCCGTTCGGGTGCGACTGTGCGATGTCTTGCAGGACCTGGGGGTGCGAGCCGATGAGGCAGCTACGTCCGAGAGCGAGGCTGATGGCCTGTTGTGCGATCGGCGTCGTCTGTGAGAAGTTGAAGATGCGGCGAGCGGGAACATGTTCCCTGAAGGGGCAGAACTGTTGGATGAGAGAGTGAGCATGCATCGCACGAGGCGGAAGATGGGAAGAAGGCAGACCTTGTCCGGCGTCGCTTTGACCAACTTGCGGAAGCCTTCGAGCGCCGTGACGTCCTTGCACCAGGTCGCAGAGTCGTCCGGGATGATGCCCATCGCAATGGACCACTCGCGCATGTAGAAGGCGAACTGTGAACGCGTCAGGTCAGTCTCCTCGGATCGGAACGCGGGCCAGAGGCGCACCCATCGCTGTTCCTCGCCATAATTGAGCTCTTCCGCCTCCGCCTTTACCTTGGCGACCTTGGTCGGTCGGCCAGGCCATGATCCCTTGAGGACGGAGATCCGCGGTCGCTCGTCTGGTGCAGGGAGGTTGAGGCGGATGCTTGGGCGTGCGATCGCCGAGTCGTTCACTAGAAGTTGGCGAAGAAAGGCGTCGAACGTGTACGGCTCTGCCGGGCGAATGGTCACGGCTTGCAGCAGACGCCATGGCGGGAAGGTGATGGACGGCAGGGGCTCATGCTGAAAAGGCGCGAGTGTCTGCCGCAGCGACGACGGGAGGGCGTCGTAGAGCTTGTCGATCGAGCTGAGTACGTCCTGCTCCTGCGAAAGGTGTGCGATCGCGTGTCGCCAGGCGGGCGAAGTCGTCGCGTCCAAGGCGCTGCGAGCGTGTGTCCGTGCTGCTCGCTCGTCCGTCTTCCAGCTCTGCGGAAACCGGATGATGTCGAGGATGGGCGGCAAGAGGAAGATGCAGGGACTTTGCAAGCCGTGCAGGAGTGTCGCAGCGAGGAAGGCCGACTTGATCACGAGCGAGAGCTCTTTGTCGACGACGGCTGCGGCTGGGTCGAGGACAGTCGCGCGGTCTGCCGTGCCAACTGGTGCAGGGAGTGCGAGTCGTGCTTCGGGTGACAAGACCGAGTGGGCGAGGAGGAAGCGGAATAGGATGTCTCCGACGACCGAGCGCATCCGACCCTCGTTGCCCCGCTTGACCTGCACGCCTCGTGCGCGCAGTACACAGTACTCGACCTGCCCGTCGGCGCTGTCGACGAGGAAGGGCAAGGCCATCACGCCGCTGTTGTCTTGGACCACTTTGCGTCGGCGGGAGGAGGAGGTCATCGTCGAGCGCGTTGCCATATCACGCGCGGCGCCCTTGACTCGTTCCCAGCGCTGGCTGCCGGCGCCCCAGTCGCCCGTCGCGCCACTCGGCAGCTCGTCCCACCGCGTCTTGTCGAGGTCCGCGAGGATCCAGGGCCACAGCGTTTCGGCGACGAATCGACCCGTCTCTGCGTCTGCGAGTGCGAGGCGGCACCTCGCAACGAGCGAAGCGGCGGCGAGGTCGGCGGCGAGGGAGGTGGCGCGGGATCGGCGCGGAGCCGATGGGGTGAGAGTTGAGGCGAGCGCAATGATCGACGAGTCGTCGTCGGAAAGGATCATGAGATGCTCCTCCTCGAGCGGTACCGGGGCAGACGTCACGTTGTTGATCGCGGTCTGGAAGTGAGCAGGGTCGAGCTCGTCGACACCGTCTGTGATGGCTCGCGAGAGGTACTGTTTGATGGCGGCCGCATCGGCCGGCGTGCGCAAGATCGGCTACACGATCAATGTCAGCGTAGCTGGTACTCGTAGACCGAACTCGTACACGCACCTCGTCCGCGTCGTCGGCAGCCGTCCGCACGAGGTCGAGAACGGGCGGTTCGCCCTCCGACGATTTCTGCTGCGCTGCTTCTTTGCCGGCGGTAGTCGCCTTCTGCTGCGCCGAGCGCGCAATCCGAGCCGAGGCCTTGGCCTTGTGCTTGCCGCCGAGAGTGACGAGCGAGGGGGCGTCCCCATTGGCGAGGGAGAAGAACTTCTCGAACCCGGCGGGGATCATCGCAGCGTGAGGGTCATCCTGTCCGCCCTCGATGTCGTTCTCCTCGTCTGATGCCGACGAGTAATCTCGGGCGACCGGTTTCTTGGCGGTCTTGTGAGCCGATTCGGGCGCAGTTTTGGCGGCGGCTGCCTGCCTCAACGAGCGCCGAACCCCATTCTTGTGCTGCGCGCAAATAAAGGTCAGCAACGTCGTTCATGCGGTGCAGGAACGGACAGACTTGCCTGACCGGCTGCTCTCGCTGCCTCGCTGCCGCTCGTCGAGTCGACACCATCGTCTTCCTCATCTTGGTCTTGGTCTCCGCCCTCGTCGTCCGCTTCGTCCGGGTGGTCCTCGTCCTCGTTCTCCTCCTCTTCATCGTCGCCGTCATTCTCTTCATCGCCCTCGTTCTCGTGCCGCTCGCTCGCCTGCTCGCCTCCTCCTCCGTCTTCAGCCGTAACGCCCACCTTGACGCCGGTCCGCTCGTCGAGGCTGTGTACTTCCTTCGCCGAAGCACACGGCTCGGTGCTCGAGCGGGTGCGTTTGGCGGGGGGCTCGTCGAGTGCCGGCGAGACGAGACGTTTCGCGCCAGCCGAGGCAGATGTTGACGCAACCGGAGACGCAGCGAGTGCAAGGAGGGCCTGGTCGAACTTGTCCAGCATGTCGATGTCGCTCGAGCTTGAATCGTCGCCGGAGGAGGCCTCGGCGGCGGCGATTTCATTGAGCTTCTTGGCCGAGGCCACAACGGCTGGACGAGGCGGCTGGGGAATGATCAGGAGCGCGCTTTGCGGAACAGACGCGCCGTTTGGACCGAGAGAGAACGACGGATCGTCCTCCTGGTCGTCCTGGACGACGACCTTGCTGAAGTCCATCTGCTCGCCAATTGTGAGCGTGTCTGGAACCTGTTCCGCCATCTCGCCCCGAGCCCGCTGGCTGAGGAGGCGGACGTCCCTTGCTGAGAGCGACTTGCCGTTCGCGAGCGCCTCCTGCACGGCAGCGACAAAGCGATCCCTCGCACCAAACTCGTCCTCCGTCCACTCCGACCATCGTCGGAAGAACCCCAGGAGCCAGCTCATGGCATTCCTCCACTCGTCAGGCCGTCCGATCGCGTGCTGGCGCGCGAGCGCTTCCTCCGCCTTTGTCGGCTTGAGCGCGTCGGACGAGACAAAGTTCACGCCCTCGAACTCGCTCGGGTCCCAGACGCCGCGGAAGGGCGACACGATGTCGAAAGAGAGGGCGAAGAGTGCCGGCGGGAGAGGCGGGAGGGGCGGGATGCGGCTGCGAACGTACGCCTTGCCCTTTTCGTTGCGCACGAGGCCGCGCGAGGCGAGATACTCGGCACCCAGCTCGTGGAGGCTATGCGAGGGCAGGTGGAGGGAGTCGGCGAGGTGGAGCTGCTCTTCGAGTGTCCGGAGCGAGCGGCGGCGAGTCGAGTCCTGCGGGAAGGGGTGACAGCTGGTCGGTGACAGCTGGTCTTGATGTAGGCGACGAGCTCCTCGTCGACGAGCTTGTGCTCGAGCGCCTTCCTCCGAACGATGCCGTTCCAGCAGTCGATCTCTTCCGCTCGTTGGACAGCCTTGACGAGATGACCGCTGTTCTTCGCCCAGTCGTGCCACGCTCTGAGGTGCTCGGGCGCCATCGGGTGCGGGAGAGTGGCGAGGACGACGTGGCGGGTGAGGTAGTCGCGGACGAGGGCGCGGACCTCACGCTGGGCGTGGAGGAGTGTCAGGATGTAGGCGACGTTGCGAGTCGATCCGAACGACGCGGCACCTTCGCCGCGAGCGAGGAGTGGCGGAGCGGCCGAGGGCGTCGAGGTTGCGAGCTCGAACACCTCGTGAAGCGATCTGCAGTCGGTCGCGAGAGGCGGAGGCGAGAGGAACGCCATCGACGACGGGTAAGCAACTCCGACCGAGCGGGTAGACCGAGCCCAGCTCGGGTTGGCATACGAGGCGGGCGGAAGTCGTGGCGCCGAGCCGACGTGAGGCGCGACTCCAGGGAAGAAGTACACGAGGCGTCGGTACGGCTCGAATTCGCAGAAGGTGCCGAGCCGGAAGTCGAAGAAACAGCCCGGGTGCGAGCCCGGAGGGAGCTTCGAGAAGTCGAGGAGGAGCGTCCATCCAAAGACTTCGTCGCCGTGGTCGGAGTGAGGAGCACCAAAGCGGACGCCGATCGTCACTTCGAGGTGTCGGCGGCCATCGTCGACTGGAGTTGCCGCTGCCGGAGAGCCGTCTGTCCCATCGGGCGATGGTTGCGTCGCATCGACAGCTGATCCAGGTGTGGGAGAGGCGTGTCTCGGCGGGCGAGTCGGAGCTGAGAGCGGCGAATGGTTGATTTGGAGCGTCGTTGCTGCGAGACAAGAGGGCTCAGTCACCACCTCGCCTACAGACGCACGCGCAGAGACGGCGGCTTACTGAAGAAGTTGAGCGGGTCGCCGCCCGTCAGGGTGCCGTTCGCCTGGTCTGCGGGAGGAGAACGCGGTCAGGAACGACGTACCGGGCTCGAGGTGACAGGGACGAGCTTACGGCGGGCTTCGAGGGCTTCAAGCTCTTCTGGCAGCAGAACCACGCGAAACACATAGCCCGCAATGATTCCAACCCGCTCGTTGACCTCGCCCGTCATCGTCTGCAACATCGAGTAGAGGTTGTCCCACCGTTCCTGCGGAATTCCTCTCGCACGGAGCCTCGTGCCGAACGACGACGCATCGGGTTTCGAGAGAAGCGCCGAGCCCTGCAAGAAGCCCGTCCCAACCTCGGGCTTGGTCGGTCCGATTGTGTGGCTCTGCTTTCCCTTGCCGTTGCCCGAGGAGAACAGGTCGAGGAGGTCGAGGTAGCATTGGTCAGGTGGCGCAGACGGGTCGTCGCCGATGTTTGTGACATCGGTGTGCACGTAGTCGATGAGGGAGGCGTGGTCGGTCGGGATGGAACGGACGCGGGTCTCGAGCTCGGCGCGCTTGCTCTTGTCGCCGATGGCGGCGAGGATTCCCTCGAGAGTCCCGATGAGGTCGTCGGCAAGTACGCCTGACCATGTGCGAAAGTGCGACACGGCTGTTGCGTTGGCGACGAGTATGATCGAGTTGGGGCGGATTCTGCGCCAGTGGCGAAGGCGGCGCTCGACCGACGGATGTTGGCTGTGTCGCGGTGAGAGAGTCAGTGGGGTTCCAAGCAACACGAGTAACGGACGGGACAGACTGCGTCGTCGTGTCCCAGTCATCGCCTGACGGAAACGCCGCGTCCTGCACCTCGGATCCGTCGCATCGCTGCTTCTCGAAGTCTCGCCACCACTTCATGTTGGGGATGAGGGCGATCTGATAGCGCTCGTGGCCGAGCGGGAACGAGTCGAGCCACTCCTGCTTCGAGTGGGCAAAGAGGAGCGCGAGACGGCGAGAGCAGGCGGAGTTCTCGCGGGAGCAACAGCCGAGGCGCTGAGACTGCTCGATGGGCGTAGTCCTGGCGTACTCCCAGTAGGCGGAGGGCGTGAAGAAGGTGAGGTGGGCCGGAGTGGTCGGAAAGAGTCCTTCGGTGTGTTTGGGACGGCGGGCGCGGCGGTGCCGAGGGAGGCTGGGGGGAGGGCAGGGAAGGTAGGCACCCTTGTTGAACGCGTTGCGTACTCCCTGTGAGCCAGGGAGGCGCTCCTTGGGCGGTTTGGGCTCCTTGACTTGAGCGGAGGGGCGTGGCGCATCGTCAAAGGCATCGTCGTAGTCGGTACCCTCGTCGAGTCCGCCAGGATCGTAGGTGCCGTCTGGATCGTCCAGCATGCGCTGCGTCTCGTCGGCGTGGATGGCCATGTTGAGGAGGGAGCAGAGAGTCGAAGCGATGAAGTTGGGCCAATCGCAAAGCTCGATCGGGCGGGGGGAACCTCTCGACGTGCAAGCGCGTCTCTCACGCCTTCCGGGCGGCCAAGGAGGTGCTGCACCACATCGCAACAACTGCATGTACCACCCACACGACTGTCGACTTGTCCCGTACGGCCGTTCCAGATCAAGGCCAAGGCTGTTTGCTCAGCGCTGCTGAGCAAACAGCTCTGGCTTTGTTTCTCAAGCAGGCATCGGCTGAAGCTGTGGCTTGGCGGAGCATCTGCTGTGCCTTTTCAGATGTGGTGGGAGGCACTCTGGTCCGGCAGGCGGTTGTGGTTGGCAAGAAGCGACGCCTCTCCAGTCGTTCTTCACCCGCCTCGAAGGGCAGTCAATCTCGCGCTCTCCAGCAAGAGTGCTTGCTGCATGGCAAAGGAGAGACGCATGCTGGGCCGTTCCGAGCGGTGGACCACCATGGTCCCGCCGGTGAGGAAGCAGGTCTTCCGGTCGCTCGCAGTCTCCATGAGGCCTTCGAACTTCCGCTGCACCGATGTCGCGAACAAGCGTGTTCCGCTCGAACACGATACAGCATGTCGATGAGAGAGCAACGAGAGATCAATTGACCAGTCCGACGGTCGAGCAGTGTCGAAGGCGAGACTTGGCGGATCACTCGGCGGGAGTGAGCGGCGAATGTACCGCAGCATTCAGCGACCATCTGATCACTCGCCATCGACGTGTGAGGTAGCCTGAACAGCGACAAGGACGATGTGAATCCGCGAAAAGCACCACATGGTTGTCCTCCCCTGAGTCATTCCACATAAGCTACACATTTGTCCACTCGGCGCCGCAGTCTCCCTGGTCAAGCACGAGCAAACGCAGTCCTCGGCGGGCAAACGAGCGTAAAGGGCCCTCGACGTCGAGATTGTGTTCATTCCAGGCGCTGATAATGCCCGATAGGAAGCCGAATGTCCCGTATACGTCTCTCTGTTCAAAGCAGCATGTCCAGACCTTCGAGAAGCGTGTCTCCTCCCTCCCTCGAGCACGCAAGCCTCGCCCCGCCCTCCTTTAGAGGTTGAGGAGAGCGCCGCTTCCCCCGGCAGGTCGCGCGCAATCCGCGTGAGCGGGGATGCGGTCACCGAGACCTCCGAGCGACGGGCGAACCCTGCCGCTCAGGAGGCGCCGAGGGCCGCTCATGGCAAAGTCGAGGGAGGGCGAGGAGGCGAGGGTTGGCCTGATCCGCCAAAAGAGCCCCGACTCTCGCACTAGCCCGCTAACATCCAGTATACAACCTGTACGACCGCGCCTCACATCTACTCGAGCGTCTCCACGTCGCAGTCACCATGCGAGAGCGAGAAGAAGAAGAGAAGGACCAGCGAAGCAAGCCCGGCTCACCGTTCGTCCCACGAACACCGCTCTCCAACCCCTACACACCTCCCTGACCGTCCAGTAGCATTCACAAGCGCCAGTGAGGCGAGAGAAGTCGAGTCGAGGCGAAGTCGGTGATGAAGATGGCGGACGGGTGAGGGGGCGGCGGGAGGCGGTGCGAGCGGGTCAGCGAGTCGTGCAAGATTGTAACGAGTGAGTGCAAGACTCACCAGCCCGCCAGCCTTGCCTAGCATCGAAAGTTGCGAGTGGGAGAAGGGAGAGAGATGAGGACGGAAAATCGGAAGCAAGAGGATGACGAGGAGGCGGCCGCAGCCCGTGAAACGACTGGCCAGCTCTCAGGTCGACTTTGTAGGATGCACAAGGTCGGTCACGTTCACCAGCGAGCCCATCCGAGGGAGAGAGACCCCTCATCATCGCCTCGCGCACTCTATCGGTATCTCTCTCTTCTCACACGCGCAGTCTGGGCTTGCGAAGCAGGCGAGTGATCGTAGGGGACATGAAGGACCGCTTGCAATCCAAAGCAAAACGCGCGAGATGCTGATGTCCACTCTTGTCCGCCTTTCCTCTTCTCTCGCGCCTTTCTTTCTCTCGTCCAGGCAAAGCCGAGAGGATGGAAGCGATTCACAGGCTGGTTGCAAAGGGCAGACAACGGGGATACAGGGAACGATCGGGAACCGGCACAGAAGGGGAAAAAGTAGGAAGGGGAGACTACGAGGCCTTTCCTCGTCTTCGGTTCCTCAACCGAGATTACGCACCTCGGCGACCAAGCGGGGCGACAGGTGCTCCTGCTTGGCCACTGCGCGAGCAAAGTCCGGCGAGCCTTGGAAGAAGGCTGACGAATTGAAGGAGTAAAGTTCGACGCAAGAAATGAACCGAGCGGCGAGAAGAGGACAGAGCGAGGGGGCGGCGAGGTCGCTGGACGGATCAAGATACGGCCCAATGAGGCTGCGTGCAGCGGGGAGGGGATAGTCAGTCGCCGCGAGGAGGAGGGCGTCCTCCGACTGGGCAACGTCGAGGGAATGCGCCTGCGGGCGGAACGCGTCAAAGTCAAGAGACGGCAGAGAAAAGACAGCAAGGAGACGCACCCAAGCCTCGTCGAGCTCGTAGGCGAGGATGTAAGGGACGCCAGGGTCCGATGGATCATGGACCGAGGCGAGCTCGACGCGCTCGTCGTCGAACCGGACGCAGGCAGGGAACGCCGCGTCGAAACCGGAGGCGGATAGCGACGAGCTGCTGGTGCCCTTGACCCAGTAATGACCGGAAGCGGTGCTCAACGACTCACGGACGAGGATGGCGGAGAGCTTGTAAAAGACGACTGGCAGGTCATCCTGGGGGAGAGGAGACGTCAACGAGGACGAGGGCAAAGACGGACCGTAGCGCACGCTGTTGACGACCTCGCCCAAAGCGAACTGTGCGGGGATGGCGAGGTTTCGAATGTCCGGGAGATCAAGGGGCGCAGAGGCGGGGATACCGACGGCGTTGCGGGCAGGAAGGACCGCATCGACGTTAAGATGGACGAGGAGGACGCGGCGCGCGTCGAGTACACGCATGCGGGTGCTGTGGCGCGTGCCGACGCCTGGCTCGACGCCATCGAGCTCGAGACCTTCAAAGTCGTCGACAGACGCGCCGGTGTTGATCCTGAGGACGGGAGACGGTCAGTGAGGGAGCGAGGGAGTCCCTGCCACATACAGGCAACGCACTTGCAGGTGTCGCATCGCTTCACCTCCTCGCCGACACAGGATGCGCGCAGGGCATCCTCGAGCGAGGCGTGATAGGATCGGTTCTGGCCCGAGTCGACTTTGCGTGCGAGATGGACCGTCCAGAACAGGTCCTTGGGAGGTCGGCGGGTCGTAACAGCGCCGCAGGTACACGTCGATTCGATCTCGAAGGTGAGGCCGACTTGAGAGGGTGAGCTATGCAAAGTTCGCGACCGTGAGCGAGAGCGGGAAGCAAGAAGAAGGAAGCACGACCTACATGCCAACGTCAGTCGCAAAGCCCTCGCGAGCCAGCTCGCGGAAAAGACCAGCGAGGACCTCATGGGCATCCTGCTGATGGCCGATATCCAGCGGGATCGCGTCTAAAGGGCAGGGTGCGTCAGCGGAGTAGAGAGACATGGACGCTCGCACGCACCATAGAGCAGCCCTTGCACGCGCAACAGGTCGAGCGGCCCATACGGGCTCGAACGGCCCACGTCGTGAAAGGCCTTGCGGAGCTCGGCGGCGACTGAGGCGGCGAGCATACGGTCAACGGCGCGCACAAGGGGTTGGGACGATGGGACGGACACGAAGGGGGGACGTCCACTTGCGGCAGGGGGAGAGCGCCGAGGTGGAGGTTCTTGATGAGTGTGGTCAAGCGCAAAGCGGCGTTGAAGGGGCACTGACGGCGCGTGCGATTGACGAGACCGCGTTCCTGCCGAGGCAACTTCGTTCGAGCCGCGAAAGACGAATATGGGCAGGAGAGGACGCACAAATGTGGGCAGAAGCAGAGGAGGAGTCGGACGGGGCTGCATGTCGAGAGCGGGAAGGCGAGTAGGAACGACGGGAGACTTGACGGCCTTTGAAAGAGGAGGAGTCGCAGCGTCCGCGGCGGCGGCTTGCGCAGAGGCGGCTTGCGCGGTAGATGCCGAGTCAACAACATCCAAGGCAGTCGCAGACGGACCGCCGCCGAGAGGGCTGGTACCCGAGGCGGTAGGCGTCGCCAGCGCATCGTCCCGTGCGGGGCGAGGTTTCCCGTCGTTCTTGGCAGTCTGCGAGCGCGAGGTGAGGCCGACAGCCTCCTCGACACGATCGTCAAAGATGTGGACGATCCGGTCGCCGGCAACTGGCATGGCGAGTGCAAAGATACCGACGCGCATGATGTTCGTCGAACCGAGTACGTCGCGATGAAAGACCAGGTCGCAATGAGCACACTCGATCAGGCGGTAGATGGGGTCGCCGGTGCTCAAGAAGTTCGGATGCGCAATTCTGCGAAGCGGGAGGATGTCAACGGGCGCATGCGAACGGAGGGTAGCAACAGACGCACAATTCGCGATCGCGATACAAGTTGCAGCGGTTGGCGCGCGCGAGACGGCAGGCGACGTTGGGGCAAGTCTGCGACGTGAGGTACTCGTTGACGCGGTAGACTTCCACCTTGAGCCGGTCAGGGCGAGCTTGGAGGGCCGTGATGAACTCGTCCGAGAACGCCTCGCCGCGACTCGCACCGGACGCCGCCTTCGAGCGGATCTTGAGCTCGTTTCCCACAAAGAGGACGAGTCGAGGGATCGGCTTGGTGGAGTCGGGAGGAACGAGCTTGTCGAGGACGTAATCGCGCATGCGGTCGCAGACGGACTGGATAGTAGCGTCGCGCCGAAGCTGGTGCTGGAAGACGATGTCGCGACGGAGCGGGTTGCGAGTAGCGAGCTGCGCAAGCAGATGGAGGGCAAGCGGCGAATCTATGGGCCGAGCGAACGTCAGCCATGCGATGATGGCCCCAACAGGGCAGACTAGGTTGTACCAGGCTGGTCGGCGACGAGCTTTGCGATTCCGTCGACTGCATAAGGCCCTGCCGCCTCCTGCTCGTCTGCAGAGTAGACGTCGAGTCGACGAAGTTCGCTCGATTTGAAGCCGACCGAGTGGAGTGTGTTGTTCTCGCGATCGTAGAAAGTGACCTCGATCAGCTCGCGCTCGCCGACGTCCGCGCCGGCGAGGAGGACGTCGTCCGCGAGGCCGTCAAGCGCGAGACGGCCAGCGATCGTGTTGCCCGGATCGACGGACTCGCTCGGTTCGACCTGCATAGGATCGGACAAATCGGCCCCAGCGAGTGCGTCGAGGCGGCCGGCGCCGCTATCGTCGTCCGAAGACGTGCCGGTCTGCGAGCAAGGAGCGGCATCGGAACGGGGAGCGCCACGCAGGCTATCTTGGAGCGCGCAACGGCGGTCGGCGTCGTTGAGCGAAAGGCCGACCTGGCGGAAATTGACCGACTTGACGACGGCCACATCGCGGGCGGAGAGGCGAGGACGAACGCGACCGGATTCCGGCGAAGCCTTACCGGGAGGAGTGTCACGAGCGACGGGAGCGGGTCTGCGCCACTCGACGGCGGCATCGGTAGACACAAAGCTCAAACGCTCAGAGAGCGTGCATTGTGCGGCGGCAGGATGCGCTCGCCCACCATCTGGCGGCCCTGACTCGAGCGGATCCGCCAGCGGAGACGCCGCGCAAGGCGCCGAGGCGCTGTCTCCGGCGCAAAGCACCGCGAGGCCGCGCAGAGCTACCGCTCGCAAGATCCTGCGGGCGACAGCTCCGTCGCACCACCGACTGGACAGGGACGCGTCGGCGAGCGAGGCGTTGACGAGCGAGACCGAATCTGGACGAATTCGATCTAGATCAGCGCAGAAGAAGGAGCGTACGAAACGGCGACGACGCACCCCGCGGCTGACCGTCTGTCCCGAGCCGAGTAGGCGTCGCAGCGAGGACGAGAGTGGGGTCGAGCATGAGGAACGAGATATGCGAGGCGCTCACGGTTGCAAATCCTGCGCTGAGGAGTATTCCTGGCTTAGGAAGTTCGAAGAGGAGGTCGAAGCAGATCGCGGGCGCGCGGACGACGCCGACGAGGTCGGCAGCACGAAGAACGGCAAAGAAGCTGTCAAGGCGGGCCTTGCGCGACGAGTCGAGCTCGATGTGCGGGACGCGGTCGAGCTGCACAGTCGAAGGGTCGGACGGAACGACTGTGCGAGCAAACTTGGCGGTGTGAATGCCCTCGAGCAGGACGAGGTCCGTGGCGATACCAAGGGCGGCGAGCTCTCGTCGGATGGCGTCGGACTTGGTCTTGGCAGTCTCGTGGGGACGACTCTTGCGGGCGTAGTGAAAGGGGTTGGTGGGCAAGCAAGGCGCGAGCGGCGTACCGGCCTTGCCCGAAGCGAGCAGAGCTTTGTTGACGAGATCGATGGTGGTGTTCGCGCCAGAAACCCACTCGGCGAGGATCATCTCGCTGTTGACTGGCTGCAGGATGGCCTGCAAACACTTCGAGTCGAGCCGGAGGGCGGTGCAGGCGTAGTTCTACCATCAGACGACGGTGGTCAGCCAAGTAGAGATCGAAGACGAACAGATGCGCCGAGCGTACCGGGGCAAAATCACGACCAAGAGCCTGCTCGACGACGAGCATGCCGCGGACCAGCTGGACGATGTTGCCGTGATCCCCTTTGGCGGAAGGCCAGGACGACATCGGCTCGAGCGGGCTCGCTGACGTCGGATCCTCGACGACGGCCGTACGAACGACACGCTGAATAGCCTCGGCGAAGCGAGCGAAGGCAGAGACAAAGGACTGGACGGTAGCGGGCGCAATCGGAGGGGTCGCACTGGGGTCGGTGCGGATCTTCTTCTTCTTCTGCTTTTTTGCGCGCGCAGCTGGCGCGGCGGAGAATGCAGCGGCAAGACGATCCTCGGCGTCGCTGCGCCACGCCGCATCCGCAGCGTCGGCCGTCGTGGATGGACCAGCGCGAAACGGCTTCGAGAGGACAAGCTCGATGGCGAGGCTGGAGAGGCGATCTCGCAAGGCCTGCGCGCGCGGCGCATCACCCTGGCCCTTTGCGAGGTCGACGGGATCCGCCGCAACGAGGAGCGGTAGAGTCGAGGAGGCGGGCGGGCCGAAGCGGGCGAGATTCGAAAGGACCGTTTCCTCGCCGGCGAAGAGGTCTCGGACGAACCCGCTCGCAGCCGGACCAAGGACACGGACCGAATTCTGGTAGCGCGCGGTGCACCAGGACGCGCCAAGCTCGGCAGCGTTCGAGAGGAAGATTGTCGCAGGGAGTCGCCGCATGCGAAAGCCCGCGTCGAATATCCCCTCCTTGACCGCCTTGAAGAGGACGGAGGAGATCTGTCGCGGTACGAGTCAGTAAGGAAGTGCACAACGAGGGGAGGCGCGCACGCACAGGGCGATTGGGGGACGTAGGGAGCGGCCTGGGAGGGGTGAGACAGAACGCGACTTCGGAGATGCTCAGGGTCGAGATGTATTGCCGGCAAACAGCCTCACGCGCGAGATAAGCGGAGGAGAAGGGGGCGGGAATGCGACCGCCGGGCGAGCCGGTCTGGAGATCGATGAGGAGGAGGCGATCCCGGAGCGCCTGGCTTTCGGTCGCGCCTGGCGACCCGAAATACTTGTGCGCTACGGCGGCTTGACGGCGCGGACGGGCGTCGGCTCGTCGCGGAGGATCCTCGAGGAAGTGCATGATTCTGGCGACGTCGCTTGCGAGGGATGACCAGGCATCGAAACGGGACGCGACGTCGGTGAGCGCGCAGAGGTATGCCGAGCTGCCGGATACCTCAGCGGCATGCTGGAGCACAGTGTGAACGACCGGGAGGAGCAAGTCGAAGCGCCGAGCGACGACGTCATGAACAACGTCCAAGTAGGCGTCCAAGATTCGACCAGGGGGCTCGGGGCGAGGCGAGTCGGCCGGGAGGGGAGGATCTGCGCGAGAAAAGGTCAGGGTCGTGACCAACGAGGCGGCGATAGCTCGCGAAGGCGAGCGCACCTGGTGAGACGGCGGCGAGCGAGCGGACCGCCGGACGACGAGGAACGCGGACCGTCTTCTTCTGTGCGTAGTGCTTGAAGCTCTTGACCTTCTTCGGCAGAGGCAGTGGAGGTCCATCATTCGTCGGACTGGACGTGTCGAGCGTGGTGTCGGCCGCCTCGGGCTTAGGCTTGCCCCGCAGGGGGCGCTGGGCCTTCGGTGAGGCCTTCTTCGCCTTCGACGGCGCGCCCTGCTCGCCGTCGGACCTGCCGTCGTCGTCATGGTCGTCGCCCAGCTCGCCACCGTCGTCTTGGTCGGCGCTGAAGTTGATGCCTTTCAGCAAGGCTCGCACCCGCCCAAAGGCGCAGAGTTCGGCCGCTGTGGCCGGCGCATGCGGCGAGACGCGAGGAGAGCGGAGTTGCTCGACGTTGCCGTTGACGCCAGCGAGAGCGCGACGAGCCTCCTCGAGGGTGCCGTCAAGCAGGCGAGACTGTGGACCGAGGTCGATCTGACGGTGGTTGAACTGGAAGGGAATGCGAAGGAGGCGACGGAGCTTGCTCGTGAAGGGGCGAGAAGATGGCAGGCCTTCAGGCTGGGCGGCGGGAGTCTCGGACTCCTGCATGTCGATGTCCGAATCGGCGCGAGGGGCCGGCCCGCCATGAGATGCAGCGCCCTCGGCGGGCAGAACGTCTTTGTGGATCTCGACATCGACGTCGACCTCGATAGGGACGGCGACATCAGTGGTCGATGTCTTCTTGGGCTTGCGAAAGGTGTAGATGATGTCGCCACCGGATTCGCGCAGAGACAGGCGACGCTTGACCTCGGCGGCGAACCATGCGTCGGTACTGCAGAGCTCGGACGGCGGGATGTCGTCTCCGCGCATGACCTTGGCGGTGGTGATGAAGCGCTCGAAGGAGAGGTCGTCGAAGGTGATGCGTCTGTGCTGAGCATGCGTGAGCGTGCGAAGGTCAAAGGAAGGGTCGGACATGTTGGAAGGGAGGTCGTGCTTGCTCGTCATGCCCTTGGGGAAGGCTGCCGCACGCAAGGTGTCGGCGAATTCTCCGGCGAGGCGTTGCCAGGCGAGGCTGCCGCGGGCGAGGGCTTTCGATTCGCCGAGCCAGTCGCGATTACAGAATTCGAGCCACCTCGAAGACTGAACGATCGTCCTGTAGCCGATCCCGAAGATGCCGGCGCCGTAGTCGGTCCCGGCGACGATGGCGGCGTTGATCTGCGCCCAGACGCGCTTGAACGGCCAGAGCTGTTTGCGCGATCCGTCGGGGGCAACGAGCTCGGCTTCCTCCAGCGCGCGACGATCGAGAACGGCGACACGATCGTCGGATATGTGGCGAATGAAGAAGCGGGACTCTTGGGAAGACGCGGTCGTCATGACGTCGCCATCGACGGCGTACTGGTGAATGTGCTCGGCGGAATAACGCTCGCCATCGGGGCTGAGGAACGTGCCTTGCGCTGCTTGGCGTGCAAGGCGTGCGACGAGGGGATCGGCCTCGTGTGGCGAGACCATCCAGTGGACGGCAGACGGAGCGGACGGCGTCTGTAGGGCGAACAAGCAGTTAGTGGGTGAGGAGAGATGCGGGTAGGCGGTCGGACTCACGGGCGAGACGACGGGGACAGGGATGGGGTTCTCGCGCGGGTTCCAGGGCTTGGTCGGAGCAGAGGGTCGAGCGGGGGTACGAGAAGCGTCGGCGCCATGTGGCCGATAGCGATGGGCGTGCTTCTGCTTTCTCGCCTCCTTCAACCTTCGCTTGACCTCCCAGCCGATGGTCGCGCGTTGGCGAGCAATCCAAGTGTAGTGCTTGAGGCCGTGACGGTTCGTAGGGTGATCTTGGGCGACGACGGTATGGGCTTTGGGACCGTAGTGCTCCTTGCGCAGTTCGGCGCGCCGAACAGGCTCGACAAGGTACTGGGCTTCGATGTGGGATTTGGCTTCAGCATGCGTAAGGCGAGCGACGAGGGCTTGGCGACAAGCGCGCTCGTAGGTTGCGCGATGAAGGCCAGCATCCTCGAGATGTAGGGAAGCGGCGTTCGCTACATGGCGGCGAGGGTCGAGTGAGACGAGCGACGAGTAAAGCGGCAGGCGAAGGGGACGCACCGGCTTTCACACTCGCGCCGCGTTCGGTGAGCCAGTCAAGGAGAAGGCAGAAGCGCTGAATCGGGATGTCGGGGAGGAAGACGTGAGGTTGGTCGGGGTCGGACTCGTCGGCATGACTGTCGGGGTCGAGCGGCGGAGAGTCGGTAGCTACGAGGGGGTCCAGCGGCAGGGCGACAACGGAGGTGATGTGGCGTAAGAAGGCCCAGAGCCCTTTCACGCCCATGCTGATTCTGGGGAGGGTGATACGAGGGTGTTGGGGAGGGGGTCCGTGAGGGAAGGGCTGATGCGACACGAGGAGGCGGATCGCAGATGAGCAATGGCGACTGGCGGAGGGCAGAGGAAGCGCACCTTGGAGGCAAATGGGGAGCTTCGTCGGTGTACTGAAGCAAGAGGTAGTAGTGAGGGATGATGGCGCGATGAAGACACAGGAGATGCTCCCGAGTCCGCGGACGCCGTGGGACGAGGGAACATTCTGCCATGTCCGCTGGATACGAGCATCACGAGCATGCGGAGAGAGCCAGATAGCGGTAGTCTTTACGAGAGGAGGCAAGAAAACGCAAAGATGTCGGGGATGAGATTAGAGAAGTAGCAGAGAGGCACGCGCAGGATGGACGACGAATGTTTGCGCAGTTGGACGTGGCCTCGCTGTTCTCCGGGACAGTCAGTGAGGTCAGGAGTTCGGGTAGCTGGCAGAAATATAGAGGGCTCGGGGTTTGTGGCGAGGCCGACGCTCCTGAAGGAAGGGCGAAAGGGGTGGATGCCTGGGGACGGGCAGAGCTCGCTGATATGATGCGCGGGGTGAATAAGACATGCACCATCACCGAATGGAAGTCAGTGCCAGAGTCAGTCAATCCTGCGAGGGAAACAGTCAGTCCTGCGATGGGGGAAGAATCGGCGCTGTGGCCCTCAGAAACAGGAGCGCGATGCTCCGCCCGCTGTCGTCGTGAAGGTGCAGCAACACACAGCGTCGTCTGCAACGCCTCGGCTGCATCAGGAAGAGTGCGAGAGCGCAAACGCGAGGCCATGCAGTCGCCGTTGTTCAGCCCTGGAGGGAGTACGCCGTTTCGCACGCAGGGGAAAGCGATCGGACAATGCCAAGCGCCGTGCAGTCGAAAGCGCAGCGGCGCGCCGTGCCAGGAGGGGTGATGAAGGGTTAAGAGGTAAGGGGTAAGCGGGTGAGCAACAAAAGGTCGCTTTCCACTGGACAAGGCCAACACGCTCTTTCTCGCTCCTGCTGCTGCTTGCTAGGCTACTAGACCTGCTCTACTCGCTCTGACCACTCCTGCACCTGACCGCGCTTCTCTTACTCCCCGCTCTCGGCGCCTCGCCCGGATCATCCTCTTGCAAGTGCGTCAGGCCTTTCCTCGCTCCTCTCACTCTTGCTGACCTTTGCGAGACGCACAGTGGGCCAGTCGTCAAGTGCGGTCAAGATCACGCCGCAGGACCGGTCGATACTTGAGTGAGTCTGGCGGACCTCATGCTTCATTTGCCCTGCTCGACGGCAAAGACTGGAGCTGACGAGCTGCTGCGGAGTCACAGTCTAAAGCTACAGAGGGACAAGTTGAAGCAGTACCAGAGACGGGTGAGTCGGGACGGACCTCGCTTGCAGAAGCTGGCGTCTCTCGCTTTGACGCGACTCTGCTCCTCCCATGCTTGGAATCCCGAACGCTGAAGAATCTGCTGGTCGCAGATAGAAGTCGTCCTCGCCCGGGAGCGCGAGATAGCAGCCGAATCGCTCAAGACAGGCAACAAGCAGCGGGCTCTGACCGCCCTGCGGCAGAAAAAGTACCAGGAGACGCTGTTGTCGCAGACGGATGCGCAGCTCGAGACCTTGCAGAAACTCGTAAGCGTCTCCTTCCATGATTGAGTGCCTCAAGCCTTCTTGAGTCGAGCGAGGGACTGATCGTCGTCGTTGTATGCGAGCAGGTCCAGTCGATCGAATTCTCGCTTGTCGAGAAAGACGTCCTGTTCGGCCTCAAGCAAGGAAACGATGTCCTCAAGCAGCTCAACAAGGAGATGGATCTTGCGACGGTGGAGAAGCTGATGGATGACACGCGGGAAGGGATCGCGTACCAGGAGGTGCGGCCTCACTACCTGTTCGAGCTTGTCTGCGCCTGGCGGGCGCTGACAGCTCGTTTGACCATTGCCTGATGTCCGCAGGAAGTCAGCGCGTTGCTGTCAAGCCGGATGTCGGCGCAGGACGAGGAGGACGTGCAGGCGGAACTCGCTGCGTTGCAGGCCGAACAGGTGCGTCCTGCGCTCACTTGCCAATCGTCGCACGGATGCTCGAGGACATCCGTGCTGGCGTACAAGAAGGTGGTGATAGGACTGTCAGAATGCTCACAAGCCTTTCTACTTTCGCAGACCGGTACCAAGCTACCCGAAGCGCCTACCCACGCTCTTCCCGAAGTCGAACGACCAGCCGTCCACATCCCATCCGAGGCAGAAGCACGACCAGAAGAGCGACAAGCCGAGGGGAGACAGGCTATCGCGGCTTGAGGACTTCGAGCGCATATCGAGGAGGAAAGGCGAGACTTGGCTGGATGAGGCAGTAGCGGCCGGTTTGCGTTGCGCCCCTGTACTCGGTATAGACACTATACTCCTCTTTGTTGCGCTTGTATTGCATCTCGTGTTGACGGATTGCGCAACGTACGTCGAGGAGGACGTTCCCTCCTCACTTCCTCCTTCTTCCGCTTTCGCTTAACTTCGTAGAGTATTTGCCTACTCAAGCACGCTTGTCGGCCCGACGCCGTCCTCGTTGCGCCTGCAAAGCCCGACTTTACCACCCCTCCCCCCTCCCTTGCAACGCTTGCAACTCTCTCCCTCCGCCCACTCACGCTCACATCGCCCGAACCGCGCCATGAACCAGGAAGAGCTGGAGACGTACGAGGTCAGCCTTCTGGTCGCTCTCTAGCTCGCCCCCAGCGCTGACTCGCTGTTGTTTGCCTCGATCACTCACCTCCTCCGCCATCACCGCCGACGCCCTCGCAACGCCCTTTCGCGCCGCCTGCCTTGCTCCACGTGCCTCACCGGACCCATCACGATTACTCGACACTACCCACCCGCAGTACCAGCTCTCACAGATCAAGCTGAGCCTCGCGAAGGACCCCAGCAATGCAGAGCTCCTCACGCTCAAGACAGAGCTCGAGGACCTGATCCAGCTCACGAAGGAGTACCTGCGAACCCAAGCCGGCTCATCAGCCTCAGCATCAACCGCCTCTCCCGCCCCTTCCTCCGCCAAACCCTCCTCCTCTGCTTCATCTTCCAAACCCGCCGCATCGTCTTCTGCCACGTCGAAGAGCTCGCAAAAGGCGTTCAAGACGGGCGATGACTGCTCGTGCCGCTACACGGACGGCAAGTGGTACCCAGCGCGGATCACCTCGATCTCTGGCTCGGCCGACAAGCCCGTCTACACCGTCGTCTACAAGGGCTACGACACGCCTGAAGTCGTGTCGGCGAACGATGTGCGGCCGCCGAACAGGTGGGACAGCCAGAATGTTCCTGGAGGAGGAGCGGCGGCGAGTGCGGCGGCTGCGGGACCTGAGAAGCGCAAGGCGGGCGAGATGAGCAAGGAGGAGTTGGAGAAGGAGCGCAAGAGGAAGAAGAACGAGAAGAAGGCTGAGACGCAGAAGGCCAAGGCCGAGGCTCAGGCGGGCAAGGCGAAGAGCTGGCAGTCGTTTGCGAAGAAGTCGGCGAAGAAGGGCGTGCACATCCCGGGGATCACTGGTGAGCCCGCACACTCTCGCATCAGCTCGGCGGCGGCTGACGAGCTTCATTTCGCAGGTGAATCGATGTTCCGCTCGCCCGCCGACCAGAACCCGCAGGCAAAAGGTGAGCTCGTCCTGTCGCCTTTGAGCTCGAACTCAGCTGACGACGTCTCCCTGCAGTTGGAGTCGTCGGATCGGGACGTGGCATGACGAGCGTGGCGCAGAAGAAACGGCAGACGTTCCAGGAGGGTGGCGACGATTGAGCATCCCTTCCTTCCACTCCGTCCTGTCGAGTCGGAACGCGTAGTACTCGTATTGACTTATTGTATGACCTGCCGCGGTCAGACTCAATTTCAGCCCATCACTCGATCGAGCGTTAACGGGTCCCGAGGCGAGATGGCCTTTCCGCTTCTTCCTCTCCACCACAACTGACGCTGTTTTCCCGCTCAACCCAAGCTCAGCACACACATTCTCGACCACCACATCCGCCATCGACCTGGCCACGGTCTCTCCGTCACTTCACTTCGCCTCGCGCCTCGCAAGGCTTGTCAACTCGTGGGCGCTCAATCGGCTACTCGACGCTACACACTTGCTCAGTTCTCCCTCAGCTGCAAAGCTGTGAAAGCTCTGGTCTGTCCGGCTCGCTCTTGACCGCTTCCTCGACTTGCTTCGATATGCTCCAACTTCGTCTCCGCAGTCCATGCTTTAGTTTACTGGTCCCCTTTCTTGTAACCGACCTTTTGCAAAAACACGCCTTTCTACGCCGTGCGCCTCCAGACGCCCTTGAGCCCAGCGACAGCCGCCACAGTTCCGCAGATTCCGACCCAGGTGTTGTTGGGGAGGATGCCGCCGGGCAGGGACCTGCGAGGCCGTGCGATGTGTCAGTATCGCATGCTTGCAATGAAGCGAGTTCGCAACCCACCAGTGCGCCGTGAGCGGCAAGTATCCGGCCTGAACCCAGCAATCCAGCTTCAGGTCCCTCTCCTTGTTCGCCAGCAGCCGCAGCTGGTCCTTCTCGTGCTTGACCGACTCGGGCGCCGTGTCGCCCTTTCGGATGCGCTCGCGGTTCGCGCGCAGGACCGAGGCGCGTTCTTCGCGCACGAGCTGAAACGAGCGCCGAATCGTGAAGATTTGCCTGACGGTCTCAGGAGCCAGTCAGCGTTTGCGAAGAAGGAGAAAAGCGACAGGACGCACAGGACGACGTAGGCTGCCCAGAAGCGGCACGACCAGACGGCAATCTCGCCGATGCGCTTGGGGCTGATCTTGAAGACGCCCTTGCCGGCGAGGTAGTCTGTCCGTTCGCGTCAGCCCAGCCGCACAGCACAACGAAGCGGTCTGGAAACGCACAGAGGTGCTCGAGCGGGTAGTACAGGAGCATCGACCAGGCCTGGAGCTTCTGCAGCCGGAGGATCTGCTTGTCCTTGGGCTGGCTCGCCGGGTCGTTGAGCGATTGGGCCCACGAGATGATGGGGAAGATGCCGAAGAGGCGGTAGCTGGCGGGGATGAGCAGTAAGAGTCAGCCGAGCTGTAGCGGAAGAGCGAGACAGAGAACACGCACAGCGTTCGTGCATCCGAGATGGTCGCCCGCAGCTTGTCGATCCGCACGGCCAAGTCCCTCCGCGCCTTGTTGCCGAACCGCTTCGAGTTGAGCGCAGCAACTACGACGTAAGCGGCGTCTGTACGGGTGAAGCGAAGGTGAGTGAGCGTACTCTGGACGCGAAGAACGCTGTCCTCATTATAAGTAGCGCGCTCAAGGAGAGTCGCGCTCACACTGGTACACCATGAAGAGTTTATCCTGCCCACTCTGACTCCCTGCGACGCGGTTGAAGTGGGCGAGAGCAGGGGAAGGGAGGTCGAACGGGCTGAGCGAGAGCTTCGACATGTTTGTGCCGGGTTCGTTGAGCGTCTGAGGATATGCGGCGCGTGTCCTGTGCGTGTCAGGCGGCGTGGAGAGCTGCGTGCAGTGCTGTGGGACTCGAGGGAAGTAGGTGGGGAAGTCGAGGAGCGAGGAGGGGGTGGGCGGGTGCGGCGGGAACGGTGGGTTCGTCTGAGCGTTCGAGTCGGTCGTTCGAGCGAGTCTGAGCTGCAGCAGAGCCTTGGGAGTGTGTGTGAGCGGGTGGTTCTGGCGAACGAGTCCGGCGTCTCTTCAAGCCGGTCAACAAATTTCGGTCGAGGCGTTGGGTGGCTCGAATGGCTGAAGGAAGCAGTATCAAGTACAACTGCCCCTCGGCCTACCCAGCAAGATGCGCCGTGGGCGAGGAGGAGGCGAGGGTGTTCCTGCGGCGACAGCGCGACGACGCCAGCTTTTGGCGGGATGCGACTGGCACTGATGGACCCAGAGAAGCTATAGAGCGCAGCAGGCTCACTCGCAAGCCAGCTCATCGATGTTGGCGGAATGTCAACGGGCAAAGTCAACCTCGAGCAGGTCTCCCTCCTGCAACACACGCTCACACGCCCAAGATGCTCCTTGAAGGTGCGCAACGGAGCTATTGACCGTCTGCGCACACGCTGACACACGCGCACTCGTTTCCCAGGCGCCGTGAGTCCCGCTCGTTCCCCCACCCCGTTCTCATCACTCGACACTCACACTCGCGCGACAACAGCTCATCGGACCCGCGACGTACGCCGAGTGCGACGAGTTCCTCAACGCTTACAAGCCGAGCGCGGCAGACCAGACCAGCGGGCCTTGGTACTGGGCTCAGTTTGGCGTGAAGGCAAAGGAGGGGGACGGCGTCCAGGCTGACAAGCCGGCTGAGGACCTTGACGAGGACGACTCGAAGCGCGTCAAGCTTGACAAGAAGGGAAAGGTGCTGGTGGATGACCTGGTCAAGCAGTGCCAGCACATCAAGGTGCTTCTCCGGGCGACTCTCCTGCTCTTCTTGGCGAATCTTTGCAGGACATTCACGTCGCTGACGCATCACCTCTCATTCGTAGGAAACTGCCCCCGTCCGCTCGAACAAGGCGAAGAAGCTGCGATCTCAGAAGGAGCGTGAGTTTGCGGTCGCCTCTTTAGCCGGTCCTGCTCCTCAGTTCTGCGACGGAGTACACTGATGCAGCTCCTCGCATTCCCTACAGTTCGCGAGGAGGAGTATGCAAAGTTCAACGAGGAGGTTGCCAAAATTGCGAAGGAGTGCGTTCGCGTTCGCCCTTTCCCCCAACATCCGCTTTCCCTCGTTGCGCTAATCGTGCCCACGCACACAGGTGCGGCATCGTGACCGGCAAATGGCTCTTCTACCGTGCGTAACCGCTGGCTCTCCTATCATCGTGTCCCGCCGGCTGACACCTCGGCTGCTAACAGCCACGCCCGAGAGTGTCGACATCCTGTGGTCAAAAATCGTCAAGGCTGTCGCGGTCGACGACGGGGCCCTCGTCAAGACTGGCGCAGTGCACTCGGCGAAAGTGAGCACGACGCCGGGTGACTCGGGGTGCGTTCCTTCCCTTCCCACGCACTTTCGCTGTGCTGATGAGGAGGGCAACAGCTCGTACGTCATCTGCGTCTACTGCGACGACTCGTGGGACAAGGAGGCGGTCGGCAAGGTGTTCAAGACGCTCGTCGAGGACCACAACTGCGTCAGCAGCGCGTACAAGGTTCGTCCTGAGCCGGGGTCCTGTTTCGTCTCGTGCAAGATCTTGCGCGAGTTGCTCATTGCTAATCGCCGATCTCTCGGTTCGGACAGACCGACGCGTTCACGATTCTTGGGATCGACAGCAAGCACTCGAGCGGCATCCGTTCGAGTCTGTACGGCAAGGTGTGCCGGCGTCCTTCGCCGTCATCCTCGTACTGCGTAGCCACAAGCTACCGACAGTTGATGTGAGCTGTTGGAGGCCCAGCTGACACCAAAGCTCACGCAGAACGACTTCATGACCAAGGAGGAGATCGAAGAATCGCTCGCTCGCGGGTCCAAGGCCAAGGCGGCCAAGAAGAACAAGACGCTCGAGGAGGAGAAGGCCCTTGACGGCGAGGGCTTTGACCCCGTGTCAGAGTCGGAGGACGAGGAGCGCCCGCGCAAAAAGGCGAAGAAGGCTGCGAAGTGAGGAGGACTCGCTTCGAGGGAAATGGACGGCGCCGCTTGATTTCCCGCGTATATACCTACTCTGTAACATACCATTCTCGTTCTCGCTGCAGCTGGAAGCGAATTCGCGGCGACGTCGGGCGATTCGCTCGCTGGCTTCTCGGACTTCGCAAATCGCTCGATTCTGGTTGACCTTGGATCGGTCGACCTCTCCCTTCGCCCACCTCCTTGGCTTCATCGAACTCGCTCACTGCTCACGACCACCTGTGACTGCCCAGTGCTTCTCCCGCTTCATACGCTGCTCTCGCGCCTCATCGAACCATGGCTTCCTCGTCGGACAAGGGCAAGGTCGCGGCGTACGACCCTGCGCCGCGAACAGAGCATTACGAGTTTGGAGGAGGACTTGGTGCACTGGGCGTGACACTCGCCGTGCCGTTCTTCACCTACTGTGCGTCCCTCCCTTCCCTCCCCACAACTTCATCTCTCATCGAAGTTTGCGCGAGATGCAGGGCTCGCTTTCGCCTGTACGGCCGAGCATTGTCCTCCTTGGCCTATGAGCAAGTTCGTCGCCTTCCACTCGAACGGTCTCGAGGCGATGCGCGACTCGGCTTGGTGGGAGAGTCTCTGGAGCTGGGAGGCGGCAGGCGTCTACCTCGCTTGGTATTTCTGGACGGTTGCGTGTGCGATCGCGTTGCCTGGGAAGGAGATCGAAGGAGTCGAGCTGAGGAACGGGAAGAAGCTCAAGTACACCATGAACGGTGCGTTCCTCCCTTTGTCTTCCAGCAAGGTCCTTTTGTTGACCCACTATGCCTCTTTACAGCGTTCTCGACAATGATGGTCACCCTTGGTGGCATCGCCGCCTGGACGTACAAGTTCGGACCCGGCGCGCTCCTCTACATCCCGAACCACTGGCCGCAGCTCATCTCGGCTGCGCTCGCCTGGTCTGCTTTCCTCGTGCGTTCGCTCTCCTTTCTCGTGCATTTCAGCATACTGACGCTGCTGTGTTGCAGGCCACGTTCGTATACTACCAGAGCTACATTGGAACCCAAATGCTCGCGCTGGGAGGAAACACCCCCAACCCGTTCTACAACGCGAGTCCCGTCTTCCGGTCGCCTCACGTTGCTCCAATCTGACACTCTACCGCATTGCAGTGGTTCATCGGCCGGGGCCTCAACCCACGTCTCGGCGACTTCGACATCAAGGCTTTCAACGAGATGCGACCGGGCCTCATCCTCTGGATCGTCATCGACCTCTCGATGGTTGCGTACCAGTACTCGACTATCGGACGCGTCACCGACAGCATGATCCTCACCGTCGCGTTCCATTCGTGGTATGTACTGGACGCCGAATTCAATGAGGTGAGCCTGCCGCCCCCAGTCGTCGACTTCCGCTGCTCGAGCGCTAACACTGTCGCACGTCGCAGCCTGCCATCCTCACGACTATGGTGAGCGGTATCGACTTTCATCCGACTGCAGCGACCACTCTGACGTATCTTTGACCACAGGACATCACGACCGACGGCTTCGGCTTCATGCTCTCGGTCGGCGACCTCCTCTGGGTGCCGTTCACCTACTCCTACACGGCGTACTACCTCGCCTTCCACCCAAAGGACATCGGCCTCTCAGGCTGCGCGGGCGTCCTCGCCGTCCAGCTCGTCGGGTACTGGATCTTCCGCAGCAGCAACAACGAGAAGAACGAGTTCAGGTCCGGCAGGAACCCGAAGAGTGCGGTCGCTCTCGAGTCTGTGTAGGAGAATGGGAACGCTGACGAGCGGGTTGGGCAGATCTCACGTCGATGCAGACTGAGCGCGGAACTCGCCTCCTCACGTCTGGCTGGTGGGGCATGTCCCGTCACCCGAACTAGTGCGTCGTTCTCTCCTTCTCCTCCTTGCTCGTCCAGTGAATCCGCTCGCTCGACAGCCTCGGCGACTGGATCATGGCCTGGGCATGGTGCTTGCCCTGCGGCTTCTCCACCCCGCTGCCGTACTTCTACCCCATCTACTTCGGCATCCTCCTCGTCCACAGGCAGACGAGGGATGATGAGGCGTGCGCGAAGAAGTGAGTTGCGGTCGTTTGCTGCTGCCATTCGGTGGGAAGCTGGGCGCTAGGACCCATCCGGTGGCTGCATTTGAAGGCCCGCTGACACATGCTCCGTCTCCTCGCAGGTACAAGAAGGACTGGGAGACGTACAAGCGTCTCGTTCCCTGGCGGTGCGTCCACTCTTCCGCCGCGGCCCACCTCCCTTCGTACGCTGACTCTCCGTCGCCTTCCTCTTCGCCCGCAGCATCATCCCCTATGTCTACTAGGCTATCCGTACCCTCTGCTGCCTCGATCCTTGCAGTGAACTAATTCTCAACGGTTGACATTTGGCATTCTTCGAGGAGGACGAGAGACGCGGGAAAGCAGCGCTGGTCGGATTCGCCTTCAGTGGACGCCACTCAGAGCGCTGCAAACGCTTTCAGCGAGTCGAAGTCGAGCGACACCTTCCGCGACTTCCTCTCCCCACAAAGCTCTTCCGCTCTCCCAATCCTCTCGCTCCTCGTCTCCCGCTCCGAGCGCCTCCTTACGGCTCACGAGCACTCGCAACGACTCTACGAGCGCACCCACTTCGCCCCTAGACTCCCGCAACTCCTCCCGCGCTCCGACCTCCTCAACGTCTCAACCCATCGGAACCTCCCCTCGTACGTCCTCCTTTGGCTTGGGCGCTTTCTTGCGACAGTGTGGAAGTCCTGTAGGACCGCTTGGGCTGCCTGGCTGCGCCTCGGAAGGTGCCATTCGCTGGGATGGCAGCGGGGCGGTGCTGACCCCAACGAGCCATGGACGACGACGTTGTGGCCTCCTCGACTTGGCGAAGCGGGCTGATGAGGGGCACAGGCGTCTCAGAAAGACGTTTCATAGCTGCACACGGCGAACGAACGAGCCGGAACGGGAGGCTGACGACTTCGCACCGCTCACCCCACAGCTAGACTTCTCCGCTTCTCCCGCCCCTCTACACCTCGAACGAGCACGATGAACGGCCGAGCGACGCGGAGCGTGACTGGGACGTCGACGCCGGTCCACACGGCGACGACCCGACCCCTCGTCCTCTTGCACCCCTCGACCCAAACCCGCATCTCGCTGCACGTCCCCTCCACGTCGCAGGAATGGATCGCCGCCGAAGTCGCGCGCGACACCTTCCAGGACTGGCTTCACGCTGCCGAGAAGAGCGGAAACCTCGTCGGATTCGAGGCGGCCGAGCTTGACGACGAGCAGGCTGGCGAGGGCGACGACGAGAAGGAGCTCGTCCTCACCGCCTACTTCTTGAAGCACGTTGCCGGCCTTCTCCCCTTCCCGTCGACAGCTACCTCCCCCGCCACCGCCGCCGTCCTCCTCGCCGCCTTCAACCACTTTGCGTCCGTCTACCTCAGCGGAACCGATGTTCACACCCTCACTGCCTCGCTCGCTGCTCCCGTCCGCGCTCTCGTCATCTCGTCCTTCTTCCTCGCCAAGACCAAGCTCGAGGTCGAGGGACTCGGCAAGGTCTTGCCCAAGCAGTCCGAGTCGGCGCTCCTGCAGAAGGCTGCGACCGGCCAGGCAGAGGTCTTCGCTCTCTTCGGTGGTCAGGGAATGAACGAGGTCTACTTTGACGAGCTCCAGGTGCGCGGACTCGACTCGAGCTCACGGAGTCGCGGACGGCGAACTGACCTTCCTCCCTCTCGCAGACCCTCCACGACCTTTACACCCCGCTGCTTACGCCCTTCCTCGCCCGCGCCTCCGAACACCTCGTCTCTCTCGCTGCCGCCGAGCAGCACACCCTCCTTTACGACCACTCGCTCGACGCCCTTGCCTGGCTGCAAGATCCCTCTACCCGCCCCGAAGTCCCCTACCTCGCGACTTGCGCCGTCTCGCTCCCTCTCATCGGTCTCACTCAGCTCTGCCAGTACGTCGTGTACGGCAAGGGCTCGTCGCTCGGTCCCGCCGAGCTCGGCGCCAAGTTCAAGGGCGCGACCGGCCACTCGCAGGGTGTCGTCTCGGCTCTTGTCATCGCGCACGAGTACCCTCCCGCGTCCAAGGACGGCAGCGACGCGTGGGAGCCTTTCTACGAGCAGGCCCTTCGCGGTTTGACCGTCCTCTTCCAGATCGGTCTCCAGGGCACGCTCGCCTTCCCCTCCATCGCCATTTCGCCCGCTCTCGAGTCGAGCTCGGTCGAGAATGGCGAGGGTGTCCCGACTGCCATGCTTGCCGTCACCGGCCTCGACCTCAAGTCGCTCGAGAAGAAGATCGCCGAGGTCAATGGGCACGTCAAGTCTGAGGGCCGCGACGAGACCGTCTCGATCAGTCTCTACAACGGTGCGAGGGCGTTCGTCGTCACTGGTGCGCCGAAGGACCTCGTCGGTCTCGCCGACGGCCTTCGCAAGAACCGCGCGCCGGCCGGCAAGGACCAGTCGAAGATCCCGCACTCGAAGCGTCTCCCCGTCTTCTCGATGCGCTTCCTCCCCATCAACGTTCCCTACCACTCGCATCTCCTCCAAGGCGCGACCGAGAAGGCGCTCGCGACGTTCTCGGCTGAGGAGGCCGCCCACTGGGCGCCTTCATCGTTCACCTGCGCCGTCTACAACACCGAGGACGGCTCCGACATGCGCCAGCTCTCGGCTTCGTCGGTTCTCGAGTCGGTCTTCCAGCAGATCTTCACCTCGCCCATTCACTGGGTCTCGCACGCCACCAACTTCCCCTCGTCCGCGACGCACGCCATCGATTTCGGCACGGGCGGCGCGAGCGGCATCGGTTCGCTCTGCGCGCGCAACTGGGAGGGCCGCGGTATCCGCACGATTATGCTCGGCAACCGCGGCGAGGGCGTTGGTGCCGGCAAGGAGGCTTGGGGCAAGAAGGTCCCGACCGAGGAGAAGTGGAACGAGCGCTTCCACCCTCGCCTCGTCCGCACCAGCGACGGCAAGATCCACCTCGACACGCCCTTCTCGCGCCTCCTCTCGAAGCCGCCCCTCATGGTCGGTGGTATGACCCCGACGACCGTCAAGGCCGGCTTCGTCTCGGCCGTTCTCCGCGCGGGCTACCACATCGAGCTCGCTGGCGGCGGTCACTACAACGAGAAGGCTGTCCGTGCCAAGGTCGCCGAGATCCAGAAGCTCGTGAACAAGCCCGGCATGGGCATCACCCTCAACTCGCTCTACATCAACCAGCGCCAGTGGACGTTCCAGTTCCCGCTCTGGGCCAAGATGAAGCAGGAGGGCGAGCCCGTCGAGGGTCTCTGTGTTGCTGCCGGTATTCCCTCAACCGAGAAGGCCAAGGAGATCATCGACACGCTCCGCGAGGCCGGCATCAAGCACGTCTCGTTCAAGCCCGGTTCGGTCGACGGCATCCGCCAGGTCGTCAACATCGCCTCCGCCAACCCCGACTTCCCCATCATCCTCCAGTGGACTGGTGGTCGCGCCGGCGGTCACCACTCGTGCGAGGACTTCCACGCCCCGATCCTCGCGACGTACGCTTCGATCCGTCAGCACCCCAACATCAAGCTCGTCGCCGGCTCTGGCTTCGGCTCGGCTGAGGGATGCTACCCTTACCTTTCGGGCGAGTGGTCGGAGAAGCAGTACGGCGTCGCGCGCATGCCGTTCGACGGCTTCATGTTTGCTTCGTGGGTCATGGTCGCCAAGGAGGCGCACACGAGCGAGTCGGTCAAGCAGCTCATCGTCGACGCGCCTGGTGTCGAGGATGGCCAGTGGGAGCAGACGTACGACAAGCCGACCGGCGGCATCCTCACCGTCAACTCGGAGCTTGGCGAGCCGATCCACAAGGTCGCGACTCGTGGTGTCAAGCTGTGGGCCGAGTTCGACAAGTGCGTCTCGCCCTCTTCTCTCCCATCTCGCACTACTTTCTGACGTCTCGCTTTTCCCGCTTCTCAGGAAGGTCTTCTCGCTGTCGAAGGAGAAGCAGCTCGCATGGCTCGCCGACAACAAGAAGTACGTTATCGACCGCCTCAACGCCGATTTCCAGAAGCCCTGGTTCCCCGCCAAGGCCGACGGCTCTCCTTGCGACCTTGCCGACATGACCTACGCCGAGGTCAACGCCCGCCTCGTCCGCCTCATGTACGTCGCGCACGAGAAGCGCTGGATCGACCCGTCGCTCCGCAACCTCGTCGGCGACTGGATCCGCCGTGTTGAGGAGCGTCTCTCGAACGTCAACGACTCGGGCATCAAGATCTCGGCACTCCAGTCGTACTCGGAGCTGAACGAGCCTGAGGCGTTCCTCAAGCAGTTCCTCGCCCAGTACCCGCAGGCCGAGGACCAGATCCTCGCCTCCGCCGACGTTTCCTACTTCCTCGCCATCTCTCAACGCCCCGGACAGAAGGTGAGCTGTCCTCCGCTCGTACCGGCGTACTTGACGTGTGCTGACTCTCTCCCTCTCGGCAGCCCGTCCCCTTCATCCCCGTCCTCGACGCCAACTTCAGCATCTGGTTCAAGAAGGACTCGCTGTGGCAGGCCGAGGACATCGAGGCCGTCTTTGACCAGGACCCGCAGCGTGTCTGCATCCTCCAGGGACCGGTCGCCGCCAAGCACTGCACCTCGACGCAGACGCCCATCGCCGAGATGCTCGGCAACATCGAGCACCAGCTCGTCAAGAACGTCCTGGACGACTACTACGGCGGCGACGAGTCCCAGATCCCGACTATCGACTACCTCGCGCCCCCTCCCAAGCCGGTCGACGCCGGCGCTATCCTCGCCGAGAACAACATCGCGCACTCGGTCGAGGAGCTCGCCGACGGCGGCAAGAAGCATGTCTACTCGATCAACGGTGTCCTCCCGCCGACGGGCGACTGGCATGCCGCACTCGCCGGCCCCAAGCTCGACTGGCTCCAGGCGTTCCTCTCCAACGTCTCGATTCAGGCGGGCGAGCAGTCGATTCCTAACCCCGTCAAGAAGGTGCTGGCGCCGAGGCACGGGCAGCGGGTCGAGCTCACCCTGAACAAGGACGGCCAGCCCCTCAAGCTCGACGTCTTCGGCGGGCTCTGAGCCCCTCTTTTCTCCTTCCTGGGTCTTCTTGTTTTTGGCTTAGAAGCAGTGCCTAGATTTCCCTCTTCACCTTTCGCCGTGTCGCCTATTCCTCGGAGCGCTTCTCTTGTTCGCCTCGCCATCCTCGTTTCGCATCTTCTCGTCGGATTCTCCTCTTCCGTGGTCATTCTTAGCCGGTCCCTTCTCTCATGCGCTTTCTCTGTGCGAATATAGATCCTTCTTCACGTACTCAGCACGCCCGGTAGCAAGAGCAGCGAAACGTGAGACTCGTTAGCGCGGCGAGGAGGAGGAAAAGAGGGGGTCGAGTAACGAAGCAGGAGGATTTGGCGTACTCGAAGAGAGCCAACGCCCTCTGCAGATCGTTGCAAAGTGCAGGATATGCTAGCGAGACCGGCGCAAGCGGGTCGCTGACGAGCGAGTGAGAGGAAGGAGGCAAGAGAAGTCGAGCGCGCTCTACCTGACTTCGTCAGGGTTCAGCGACTCTGCCGCTGGCTCCAAGGCTCTTAAACAGCACCGGGAACTCCGTCGTCTCTTGCTAGAGCCCTACGAACGAGTCTAGCAGGCGCAACGCTTCGTCGAGGTTAAGAAGGTCGACGCAGGAAAGACTCGACGAATGCTGGCGCGACTCGCTCGTGCGCGATTCCTTCTGCGCCCTTCTAATTTGTGACTCACTGTGCAAGCGCGCCGGAGTCGAAGCGGAGCGGACTGAAGCAGCAACGTGCACGCAAGCAGCCAAACAAGTTATGTATGCACAGTCCCCCTCAGCCCACAACCAGCCCAGCTAGCTCAGCTAGTCAGCGCTTCTTCGATAGTATAGTGGTTAGTATCCAGCCTTGTCACGGCTGAGACCCGGGTTCAATTCCCGGTCGAAGAGATTCTCTTTTGCCTCGCTCGCTCGCTGGGCCGCTCTCTCTTTTTGCGCCGTTCAACTCGATGCAGCTCGCTGGTGCTCTCTCGCAGGCAGGCAGGCAGGCAGAAGGAGGCGACGGGAACGGTTATTGCGACAAGACGAATCCTTTTCTAAGGAAACATGCGACGGCTCTTTTGGCGAGCCAAATAACTACGAGTGAGCGAGAAAGAGGAAGACGACGCCCACTGCCGGGGCCGATATAACGATATAGACACGCATCTTCGCCTCCTTTACTGCGCCGACACCTCTTCGGCCGCTCCTCCTCCAACTCCTCCCGGCCCGCCCGACGAGGCCAGCAGCGCAAACGACGCAGTCGGCGGCATAGGCTGGGGCATCTTCATCTCTGGACTTGCGGGGGTGCCGGTCGTCGCCGCGCCGCTGAGAGGCGGAGGAGGGGGGAGCGAGCCGGCTGTTGCTGGAGGCGGGGGGAGTTGGAAGGGCGCTGATGGGCCGAGGGAGGAGACGGGGAGGGAGAAGCGGCGGTCTGCGGAGGCGGCGGCGCCGAGAGTCGACGATAGGGGGTTCATGTACCGCGCGGAGGCAGAGGTCGTGCCGGGACCGAGAGGGGAAGGTTGATGAGAGGCGGTTGACTGGGTCGCAAGTGGGTGATGAGGCGGTATGGAGCCGAAGGAGGGGGCGACGTAGTACGAGGGAGCGGTGACGGGTCGGTTGGCGCTGTTGCTGAAGGAGTCGAACGGACCGCCGAAAGTCGACGGGACCTGACCTCCGTACATCCCGAGTTGCGCGTCGAGCGGGCCGACAAGCTGTCCGCGAGCGAGGGGCAGCGTCGAAGCTGTCGGTCCAGCCGCAGCGTCGTACGGCAAGACGGACGGCGCCCCTCCAGCCGACATGTACGGCGCAGCCATCGTGACATGATACTCGCCCGCCGACGTCGAGGGTCGAGGTCGGTCGGTCGCAGAGCCAGGGATGGGGACGAGTGGCGGAACGGCACCGTTCGGAACGGGACCCTGGCCTCGGTGTTGAGGAGGACCGGCAGCTTGCGCGCGAGCTGCGGCTGCTGCCTCGGCCTTCTTCCGCTCTCGCCATGCCTTGCGAATCTCCTTGAACTCTGCGAGGGCGCACAACGGGTCAGTTGTGGGCTTGGAATGCAAAGAGGAAACCGGAAACGCACGGGCAGGCGTCGACTTGGGCCCATGCTTCTGCATCGTCTTGTGCGAGTTGAGGTGGTTCAAAGTTCCGTACGCCTTCGTACATCCCGGATAGTCGCAGTTGTACATGCGCTCAATCTCGTCGTACCGCCGTCGAGGCCGCTTCGTCACCTGGCCGCCCTGCTGGACAAAGTTGTACTGCTTGCCGCTCGCTGCTTGCGCTGTCGTACCGCCTGAGGATCGTCGGCGGGCTGTGATCGCCGCACCGGAGGACGAGCCGGGTCGACTGGTGTCGGAGGAGTAGGGGCCGAAGGGAACGCCGGGAGGGAGGACCGAGCCTGGTGCGCCCATGAGTGGGGCGGGCATAACGGCTGACGCGTGCGGGTCGAGCACAGCGGGGTAGAACATCCCGCCTGTCGTCATCGGTCGGACGGTCTGTACCGCCGGAGGGGTGTAGAAGAACGGCGTGCTCGAGGGCGGAGAGGTCCCCTCGTTCACCTGGACGAGCGGGTCGACGCCCATCCCCAGCGTGTTGCCGTTGACGTCGGGCAAACTGAACCCTCTCGCGCGGTACGAGTCGAATTCGGCCGCGTGCGGGTTCGAGTCGACTTGGTACTGGAACGAGGAAGGGCCGGGAGGGACGGCGGTGTGAGGCGGTGCGCCGTGGAACGAGTCGAAGACGCCAGGTGGACCAGTCGGCTGTGCGGGTGCGTAAAAGTTCGACGGAGCGGCAGAGTACGAGTGCGAGCCGATGTAGCCGTGTCCCGAGGGAGCCGTCATCGGGCGGGTGTTGCGGGTGTTGACGCTCGGATTGATCGTCTGCGGGTTGAAGTATGCGTGCGAAGGGGACTGCGACGATGCGCCGTTCAAGCCTGCCGCAAACATCCCGCCGCCCGCACCCGCTTGCGCTTGCCCGCCCGTCGAACCTGGTCTCCCAAACGGGTCACGGAAGCCAACCCCGCTCGCCGCGCCTGCAAACCCGCTCTGCCCGTTTACTCCGTCGCCCGCGTCACCGCCAATCCCGCCAAACGCATCTTCCCCCGCGAGCTGCTCAAACTCGACGAGCGTCGGCCTCGTTCCTCCCACCGCACCCGACCCATTCGCGCCGCTCACGTCCGTCGACGCATGTTCCTGCAGCGGCGGGAGAGTCGCTGTGAACCCTCCCGACGCGTGCGCGCCAGAGGACGAGCCTGGGCGGGGTGCGAAGGAGGACGAGGAGGGGTCGGCGGGTCCGGCCGAGGGAGAGTTGGCGTACCGGCCTGGCGAGTGGGTGTTGGGTGGCTGGTAGGCGAACGTGTCCATGCCGGTGTACTGTCCACTGAATTGCACCGTCCTGCGCGTGCTGTTCAGGCGAAGATGGGAAGTGGTGACCCGCCTGATCGAGGAGGACGACGAGATGGGACGGGTCCTCGCGAGCAGTCCAGGGCGAGTACGACACAGAGCACACAGCCAGCACACGATGGGTTCCGTTCAACCTGCGCGCGAGACGAAGGCGACCGTTAGTGCGGGTGCGGGTGGTCGCAGCAGGCGAGAGTGTGCAGTCTCCACGCACGCTGCAAGTCGGGTCGAGTGTTCTGCTGATGCCTCTGAGCGAATCTACTAACTCAAGCAGAACACACTCTCGAGCGGGTCCTTTGGAGCGAAGCGAGTCGACTCGGAAGGGCCCTCGGTTTTTGCTCCCCACGACTTTCATTACCACGGAAATTGTAAGCGCAAGGCAATCCCATCAGATGGAGCAACTTTTTCCTCGTCTCCCCCGCCATTGTCCGACCCTTCCTTAGCGCCGACGCTCCTCTCCGACGCGAAGAGGACCGCCCAAGGACCGCCGCCGTTTTGTCCAGGCGACTGTAGGTGAAGGGGTCTCGAAAGCGTTGCATCTGTGGGGTATCCTACAGCTGTTCACGAAGGCGGAAGACTGAGCGGGTGAAGCGAGGAGAGCAAGAGGCCGGCGACGAAGTTATCGAAAGTCCCCGAGCCCTGCGGACGAGACTTCGGGCAGGCAGGCTGTATCGGCCGCGCGCGGTATCGGAGAGCGAGCTGAAAAGAGGAGAAATGTGCGAGGACGACGAGGCATGGCGGAGAAGTGGGGAGGGGTGACTGCGACGAGGAGAGGGTGGGCGATGCTCGGAGTCGGGGTGCGCGGCGTGGGCAAGGAGGGGCGTGGTTATCGGCGTGGACGGGAGGGTCCTCAGGCGAGCCAACTTGACGGAAAAAAGCGGCTGAAAGCGGAGAGGGAAAGGCGAGAGGCGGGAGGAAAGGCGAATATACGGTTGCTGGTGCGAACAGACGCGGAGGCGATAAGGTTGCGAGCCGAAGGTGGATGTACAGTTGAAAGCTTGTCGAGTCGAAAGAGCTTCGCGCCTCACAGTTCGCCGTGCGCGACAACCTTCTTGACCTTGTCCGTCGCCTGCGCAACCTTCTCCTCCCTCTGACTCTTCGCATAACTCGGATGCGGGCTCGCCATCTCCTCCGCCTTGCTCTTGACCGCACTAGCGACGCTCGACGCGCTCTTGACAACCGCCGGAGGACGCCTCGAACCGGTTCCAGCGACCTTCTTCGATGCGGCGGAGACGACGCTCGACGCGCTGCGCTTGATCGCGTCTGTACCACTCGCGACGGAGGCGCTCGCCTGACTCTTCTTGTAGCTCGGGTGGGGCTGGTTGAGCGAGGAGGCGACCGAGACGCCGGATGAGGCGACCTGCGTGGCGCGGGACGAGATGGACGAGGCGAGTGACGAGGCTGAGGCGCTGACACCGCTGGCCGAAGCAGCGGCGTTGCGAGTCGCTGCACTGGCGCGGGACGAGGCGGACGAGCGGCCGACGGATGCACTCGACGCAGCGGCCTTGCTTACGCTCGACAGCGACGACGAGACGACGTTTCCAAGGCTCGTCGCCGACTGAGCGAGGTTCGTCGGCGAGGGCTCCTGCCCGACAGCCCGGAGAGCGTCCTGCGAGGCTTCGCCGAAGAACTCGTTTGCAGCCGCCTTGGCGCCTTCGATCGCGTCGGCGACAGGCGCAGGGTTGAGCAACGTCGCGGCGGGAGCGGCGAGTGAGGAGACGACGCTTGCTGCGGAGGCGGCAAGGGAAGAGGCGCTGCTGAGGGCGTCGTTTGCAGCGCGGTCGACAGCCTGGGTCGCGGCGGCAAGGGCGGACGAGATCGAAGCCGGGTAGTCGGACATGACTTGCGAGTAGGCGCTAGCGGCTGAGGCGGAAGCGACGTTCGCAATCGAGGTCATGGACTGAGCGAGGTCGGTCGGCGAGGGTTCCTTGCCGAGAGCGCGGAGGGCAGACTGCGAGGCTTCGGCGTAGGCGGTAGCGGCCGACTTGGAGGCAGCGTGAGCGAGCGACGAGGCTGACTGGCGGAAGTCGGTGGGCGAGGGGTCGACTCCTGCCGCACGGAGAACCTGCTGCGAGGCGTCGCCGTACGCAGACTTGACGGCCTCGAGGTACTCGTGGCGAGCTTCAATGGTCGGGAGAGCGTTGACTGCCTCTGCAGCAAGCGAGCTGGCCGAAGCCTGGGCCGCCTTGGCGAGCGAGCTCATCGACTGAGCGACGTTGGTGGGCTTGCGCTTGTAGCCGGCGACAGACGACGCCGAGACCTTGAGGTCGTCGACAACGGCGGCCATCTTGCCCGTGACCGCCTCGTACGCAGCCTGCGCCTCGGGAACGATGCCCTGCCACTCGCCCTTGAGCTCACGCTGACCCTTGACCTTGATCTTGTGGAGAATCTTCTCGAACGCGGCGACGAGCTTGTCGGGCGACTCGTGGTACTGGTCGAGGAGCGAGTAAGGGCGGAGGTCGGCGAGGGCGGGCTCCTTTATCGCGCCAGTCTGGAGGGCGGCAAAGTTCTTGTCGAGATTCTCCTCGGCACGACGCAAGTCGTGGTAGCCTGCAGATGCCAGAACGTCAGCATCTGCCCCGAGGAGTGAGCGGGCGCAAGAAGACGCACGTTGCCAGTCCTTGGCCGTCACACCGTCGAGCCTGCGAAGCGAGTTCGTCAGCAGAGTCGCGAGCCGAGAATATCATCTGCACGCACCAAGTCCAGCCTGTGCCGAGCTCCTCCTGAGCCTTGCTGACGAGCTCGCCGACAGCCTGCTGCGCCTTCTCGACCGCGGCGCGCTCCCTCGTTTCCAGGTCCGCGCGGTACTCCTCGACCTCCTTCTTGATCCCCTCAGCCGTCTTGCGCACGCGCCTCTCAGCCTTGGCGCACAAATCTTCCGAGTCCTTGACCTTGTCCTCGACAGGCGTCTTCTCGTCCGCACCGACACGAGCGAAATATTTGCCCAGCTTCCCAACCATCGCGTCGCCCTCCTCGTCGAGCTTCTCAAGCGCGGGCTCGAACCGAGCGGGGATGTCATCGATCGCACGCTGGCGGATATCGACGAGGCGTTCGACGAGGAGACGGTGTTCGGTTTGCCCGAGCGCGGCAATCTCCTTCTCGTAGGTCGTTTGGAGGGTCTCGAGGGCTGCGCGCTTCTCGGCGCGGAGGGTGGTGGCTTCTTCGGCGGATGGAGGGGGAGGAGGGACAGAGGCAGAGTAGGCGGGAGGGGCTTCCTCGGCGGGGATGGCGGGAGAGGCGTCGACGGCGGCGACCTTGTCATCGCGGAGGTCCTTGATGAAGTCTGTGCGATGAGGTCCATGGATTACATGTCAGCTCTGTCAATCTCCTGCACAGGCGAAACCAGCAGTAGGACTCGAACGCACCCGCAAAGTCGCCCTCGCCATGCTCCTTGGCAATCTCCTCACTGACCTTCTCGACGCGCTCGACCGCCTCGAGCTTGGCCTTCTTCGCCTTGTACTCAAATATCCTCTCACGGATCTTGTCGAGCTGGGGCGCGATGAACTTGCTCCAGAACCGGTGCAGCGTGGGAAGGACCTTCGAGCGGTAGAACCGGGCCGTGTGGCCTCCGACGGTCACGGCGCGCGGGTGGACGTGCGTCGTGTAGGTCTTGCGGGAGGTCGAGTACGCGCGGCGGGAGAAGGGGACGAGGTGCGTCCTCCAGTGGTGGCGGGCGCGCGGGACGCCCGTCTCCCACACGGGCGAGAACGCGTCGTAGGCCGTTTTGGAGTGCTTGCGCGTGACAGACGTGTAGCGCTGGACGTGCGGCTCGATGTGCGAGGCGTACCACTTGCTGAGTGAGTCGGCGTACCATTCGACCGACGGCTCGAGCGTCCTGACGTACTGCTTCCGCAGTTTGTCCATGACGGGCTGGGTCGCGGCTTGCGAGTGGCGGACGGCGGAGAGGACGGCAGGGTAGACGGTCGAACGGACGAAGCGATTGGCAGTCGAGACATGCGGGCGGACGAGGCGGTCTGCGCGCTGGTAGTGCGGGCGGACGACGTCGACGTAGGGCCTCGTATGCCGCTCGACCTCGGCGACATAGGGCTCGAGTTTGCGCTGCGCAGTCTGGACGTAAGGCCTGACATGCGGCTCGTACCGCCTCAACCTGTCGCCGACCGAGTCGAGGCCGCGGCAGATGGCGCGGTCGCTCGTGCTGTTTGGGCAGACGAAGAAGTAGGCGATGAGGACGTAGGCGGCGGCGACACGGAGGAAGAAGCCCGTCCAGGTCACGCCTCGCTTGCGAAGGCGGGTCGAGGGAGAGCGCATGACCCGTCTCGCGGCGATTCGCTCCTCAGGCGCCCGCTTGTCCAGCTCGCCGTGCATCTTCTTGACCTGTGTGCATATCAAGCGTCAGTACGGTGCTATCTGAGCCGGGCCGGAGCGAGATGAACGCACCTCTTCATCCTGTGCAAGTTCCGGCGAACAAGGGCAAGCTGGTCAGCGCAGCGCCCGCCTCTACTCGAGCTTCCTCGACTCACATAGAACTTGATCGGTGCACCAGGCTCGTACGCACTGCTGGGCGTCCTCGACGGGCCCGCAACGGCCCTCTGATCACTCACCCTCCGCGCCTGCTGCTGCTGGTGGTTGTTCGAACCGGCTGGCTGGGCGTTGGGCAGGTAGGTCGGCAAACCTGGTTGCGCGCCCAGCGAGGACCGGGGCGGCATTGTTCGAGCTGGTGTCGAGGGTGAGTGATCGACCTGAAAGGGGAAGGAGAACGAGGAGGAGAAGAGCGGTGGGGCGGCTGAGGGAGCCGGACTGTCGAGGCTGTAGCAGCTGAGCAGCAAGCACACACGAGCACACAAGCAACGACGAACGGGAGAAGACAACTTCGCTCGACGACGGCGACGACGTCAATATTCGAAACTCCTGTTCTTTCAATGCTGCGTGCGCGTGCCATGCCAAGTCGGATTCGCCTGCGCATGACGGACTCGGAGGAGGTAGAAACAGAGCGCAGTACAGGCGATCCACCGTCCGCTTCCTCAGTTCCTCTTCCCTCTCTCGCGCCCTTCCCCTGCACCAGTCACGCATCTCCTGCGAGAACAGCGGCCAAGTGCACGCGAGAACGACGGCGAGACACAGGCCATGCGATACAGGGCTGAGCAATGCAGGGGAATAACGACTCGAGGGTTGTGCATGCTTGAATTTTGTACTGAAGTGACGGCTTTTCATAACGACTGATGGGCTTCAGCATTTGTGCATTTTGGCGAGGAGGAATGGAGGGAGCGTCCGTACGCGAGGAGAGAAGGAGGAAGGGACGGCGGGAGAGCCGGAAGTTCATGATCGCTGCTGGTGCTCCTTCATGGCGCGGATGTGTCGGTTGATGAAGTAACTATGCGAGCAACCCAGTCAGCGACTGTGCCACCTCGCGAAAAAGTAGGCGAGAATACGCCAGCTTCGCATGGCCCAACGCACCTGTCGAGGACCTTGGTGTCGAGATCTTTGGCGCCCTGGATGGTCTTGATGCATCGGTCCGTGCCGCACAAGCAGTGGAACGGCTGGTCCATGTCCCACTCGGTCGAGAAGTACGCAAAGGTGAGAATCTGTGGCAAAGGAAGCGGTGAGTGTGAGCCTTTCGACAAGCTCGAGCGAGAGGGGGCAGCCGCTGCCGCCTCGCAGCAGCTCAGGCGAATGGCAAACTCACCTCGCCCTTGGCGATGTCCTTCTCGGCGCGGACCCTCCACTTGCCCTCCCACAGACCGTCCTTGCTCTCCTCCTCAAGACCCGCCTCGACGCCCGCGACGTCAAACACGACGTTCGGGTCACACGAATGGTTGACGTAGAGCAAGTCCGAGTTGAGTTCGATGTGTCGGCGAGTCGAGGAGGGTGCCGAGGCAAAGTACGTCGAGGGCCAGTCGGTCGAGGAGGAGGAGGGAAGGGGAGGGTCGGGGAGGACCTGGACGGACGAGTAGGCTTTGATGCCCGGGAGAGTGTTGCGGATCGGGCACAGGATGTCGCCCTTCTTGTACGCCTGCGTTTCGAGCGAGTGAGGGTGAAGTCGGAACCGTTTCAAGGTGGGGGCGAGTTGAGCGAGGAGTAGGAGGACGCCGTGTCAGCGCCTGGTTCGCTTGCGTGCGGTGGGGTTCGAGGATTCTCGTCCACCGTACTGATCTGTCCGCCCACGCGATCACCCAGATCGCGCCTCCTCGAGCGAGACGAGCGAGCGCACCTTTTCCGCCCTCAACGAGCTGCCAAACTCTTCTCCTTCGGGTCCGAACTCGATCCTGAACAGCTCAGGGTGCGTCGGGGTGTAGCTGTGTCGCTGCGGGAGGTACGGCGGCTTGAGGGCCTTGCCCTTCTTGAGTTCTGCGACGGCTGCACCGGCGGGCGGCGGGGTCGGGACGGGCGTGGGCAGGTACTGCGCTGCGACGGTCATTGTGCGGGTAGTCTGACAAGCGAGTATGCAGCGTGTAGCGAGTGAAGGAGAGCGCGGTGGACGAGGGCGAGTTCCCTGCCCGTTCCGGTCTCTCGCTCGCCGGCGACTCCGTCACGAACGCAATCCTCGCAAGTCGTCGTTCAACTTCTCGTAGGTTGCAGTGGACTAAGCCTATGTACAGTGTGCGACAAGCGACGTTCAACCGCCGAAATGGAGCGAACGGGCGAGGAAGCCGGCTCAGTGGACGTACTGCGGGAGGAAGAGGGTCAGCGACGTTGGCAGCGGCTATTCTGCGAAAGCGGACTCGCCTGCCCGCCGTTGCACATGATCGTCGTCCCGGTAATATAGCTAGCGTGCGAGGAAGCGCTGCGCGAGACGAACAGAGGCGAACCCGTCAGTCCAAGGCCAACACTCCCAACCCTCGCGTTCCTCCCGCTAAGGGACTCTCGCGAGACGCACAGGAAGATGACAGGCGCCGCAATCTCGATAGGCTGGCCGGTACGTCCGAGCGGGACAGCGTTGGTGCCCTCGAGGTTCTGCGAGGCGAGGCGGACGGAGGTCAGTCGTGCTTTGCTTGCCGCGGGACATGGAGACGCACCTCGCGGGAGAACGTCGCAGGAACAAGCGGGGTGAGGATCGGACCTGAGCACCACGTTCAACGTCAGCAAGCGAAGATAGCGAGGGAAGGAGCGAGGACGAACCGGGAGCAACGGCGTTAACGCGGATGCCCTTCTCAGCCTGTTGGTTCGCAAGACCGCGGGTGAAGGCGACGATGGAACCTTTGGTCGAGGTCTGCGAGACAAGGAGGATGAGCAAGGGATAGGGAAGCGAGGGAAGGAGGGGACACACGTAGTCGAGCAAGTCGGGGCGGCCGATCTGCGGGGACAAGCGGCGTGTCAGTGAGGCTCGTTAGCAGCTTGCAAAGACGCTTGCGCACAAAGGCGTTGACCTGTTGCAGCGTAAGGAAAGGTTGAGAAGGTCAGCTCATGACCAGGACGAACTCTCGCGACTCGACACGCACCGAAGCGTTGTTGACGATGTTGCCCTTGGTCTTGGCAAGGTGAGGAATCGCAGCCTTCGAGGTGTAGAACATGTGGTGCTGCGGGCGCGGCGGACGGGTCAGCGAGAAGCGAGGAGGGGGAAGGGAAGCAGGACGGACCATGTTGATCTGGAAGGTGTCCTCCCATTGCTTCGAGTCGAGCGTCGTGATGTCCTTGTTCTCGAGCTGCTGGGCGGCGCTGCGAGACGGAAGGAAGCGTCAGCCCGCCACTCAGCAACCTCACCTCCTCGCCCGACCCACTTGTTGAACAAGACGTCGAGGCGACCAAAGTTGGCGACAGTCTCGTCGACAGCCTTGATGCAGTTGGCCTCGGACTTGAGGTCGAGCGGGAGGAGGAGGACCTTGGACTGGTTGTTCGTGCGCTTTTCGATGTACGCCTTCGTGTCGTCGGCGTCCTTCTGCTCCTGAGGCAAGTAGGCGATGGCACTGCGTGTCTAGATCGTCAGCGCACGGATAGAAGAGGCGGGACTGGGGTAACTGACACGTTGGCGCCTTCGAGAGCAGCAAGGATGGCAGTCGCGCGGCCGATTCCAGAGTCTCCGCCGGTGATGAGGATCGCCTTGCCCTCGAGCTTGGCAGCAGGCTTGTACGGGGTGCCGTCAGCAAGGATGTCGTCGACGGGCTTGTCTGTCGCGAGCGAGCGAGGGTAAGCCTCGTCGGGAGGAAAGGGAATGGCGACGCACCCTTCATGGTGTGCTGAGTGCCGGGCGGGCGCGAGTCGTCTCCACCCTGCGCCGCCTTCTCAGCATTCGCATCCGGCTTCCATCCCTGCGAGAACTTGTCCTGGACAGTCGAGGATCCGGAAGACGACGCGCCCGTGTTCTGGACGGCGCTCTTGACGGCGTCGGCGGCGGCTTGCATGGTTGTTGTTGTGTGTGGGTGGTTGTTTGTGAAGTGTGTGAGTGTTAGAGAGTAGCGAGAGAGCAAAGGAAGGAGAGCGAGGCGAGAGAGAGCGTCCGAGAGGTTGCCTGACGTTGCTCGTCTCGCGCGCTGACCGACTCCACATCCACGCATCACCGCTGCTCAGAAAAACGCGCCTGCTCGCTTGTCTCGTCCTTTGCAACGGTCTGAGCTCGGCAGAGGTGGCAGTGAGCCGTGCGAAGCGAGTTGTGAGGACCGCGAAGCTCTCCTTTCCCTCGCATTCTCATCGGGACTGGACGCTGGACGCAAGGAAGGTGAGAGGGTCGGAAATCGACAAGACCAGCCTGTATTCCCTAAAGCACAAGCTACGCGACTTGCAAAGCCCCCTCCCACGCTCGCAGACTCGAAGCGATGACCCGCAAAGCTTCGAGCGAGCTCTTCACCTCGTCCCGCTCCATCTTTGCCCGCGCTTGTACCGCCTCGTAAAACGTGCTGGTCTGTCGGTGGGCGGGAACTGTGTCGGAGAGTTGGAGGGAAAGGGCGAGGGAGCGATTCGCGGCGGAAAGGGAGGCGACTTGGGCGGAGTCGTCGGACGCGTCCGCCGCGGCAGTCGGTGTGGTCGAGTTGACGGCGGCTGCAGCGGCGAGTTCGGCGAGATCCTCCTCCATCGCTCTGCGTTCTTCCTCCCAGTCTCGCCGCAGCTCATCCTCCCTGTCCCTCGCCGCCTCGAGCTCCTGCTCCAACTCCGTCACCCTTTGCCGTTCGCCTTCCTCCTTCTGATGCGCCTCGTCCCGCCCAGCCTGTGTCCGCTTGAGCTGCTCAACCTCAGCGAGGAGCGAGGCGACCTGCCGCCGCAAGTCGGACGCCTCGGTCGTGCTCTGCCGGAGGAGGAGAACCTTCCCACCGCCTTGTCCCGCGTCGCTGCCAGATGACGGGCTCGCCAACAGTCCTGAGCTGCTCGTCGCGCCGGGAGACGACGCCTTCCGGACAGACGTCGATCCGCCGAGCGAGACGACCCTTCCTCGCCAAGGCGTCAACGGGCTGTCCTTCTTCTCCCCCTCGCGAGCCTCGATAGCCAATTCCCCATCGCCCACTCCGATCGAGCTAGCCAACTCCTCGCTCATCAGCCGACTGCTCCCCTCATCAAGCAACAACTCCAGTTCGTCCCCTCCACCTCCCGCAGGTCCCAGCACCGATCCCCGCCGCATCTGCGAGTTCAACAGTCCGAGTCGGAGAATATCTTCCAGCGAGGCGGACTCGCGGGGTTTCGAGCGCGTGCGGGCGAGTGTGCGCGCGAGAGGGAGTGGAGGGGGTTTTGGGAGGGAGAGGGAGCGGGTGAAGTCGGTTGTAGCGGAGGGGAGCGGGGAGAGGAAGGAGGCGTGGGAGAGGTTCGGGTCGTCGGCGGAAAGATCGGCGGTTGAGGAGGAGTCAGGCGAGGGTGGTGAGAGGATCATGCCAGGTGCTGGGACGGTGGAAGTCTTGCGAGGTGTAGCGTAGGAAGTGTCGTCGAAGGTATTGGCGCCCGTTGTTCCTGCCTTTCCCGCACCGTCGGTCTCCCGACTCTGTTCCGCCTCGCCCATCCGCCTCGACATCTCGTCTCGTCCCGTCAGTGACGGCCGTGCCGACGATCCCACCGTCTCCCACGAGCTCTTCCGACTCGTCTGAGACGCAGCGAGCGACTCGCGTGGCCGGCCTGCAGCCGCCTTGTCCGACACCGTCGCTGTGCGCGAACTTGGCCGGCTGGGCGGGTCCTTCCTCAAAGTTGCGGTGGAGGTGGCGCTCAGCGCCGAGTCGGGTCGTCGCAGCGTTCGCCCGCCTGCGATTGAGGCTGTCGCAACGGGTATCGCGGACTGCGCCTGTCCAAGCCGGCGAGAAGCGGGAAGCGTTCGGTTCGTCGAGGCGGTCGTGGCGGCTGGAGGCCGAGCTTGCTTTGTACCAGACTGCGAGGCGGTAAGGGAGGAAGAAGGCGCGCGAGTGGACTGGCGAAGCGGAGTTTGCTGGACTGAGGAGGTGGACGCGGCTGAGACGGATCGACCGCCTGTACTTGAACGCCTTCTACTCGTCCTCGCACTCGGTTCGCGCACTGAAGGACGTCCAAGGCCTCCCAGAGTCGCCTTCTGAACCTTGTCGTCTGCACCTGGAGCAGAGGATTTGCGGCTCGTCTCAGGAGGCTTTGGCAGAGTCCGAGTTGCTGGCCTGACAGTTCTGGGCGAGTCAAGTATCGTACTGGACGACGTCGAATTTGAGAGACTGCGCGAGAGAGTCGAAGGCGGCTGTTGTGCTGCAGGTCCGGCGGAAGTCGAAGAGGAAGAGACGATGCGCGTGCGTGGTCGGACTGTGCTGGGTGTCGGAGGCTCCTTGAAGCTCTCCGTCGCCTCGCGAGAGGAGTTAGGGGTGACGAGGCGGCGTGCACGGCTGGGTGTAGCGGCTACATTCGGAGGAAGAGGGCGAAGGGCGGCTGAGGAGGTAGAGGCGGAAAGCGGTGCGAAGGCGGAGCTGACGTCGAGATGCGAAGAGGAGGACAGACTTGTTGTTGGTCTTTGCTGAGCTGCAAGCGAACAGTCAGACGAACTACTCGCGTCTGTCAAAAGGCGAAGAGACGGAGGAGAACGAACTGCTCGGTCCAGCGGCACCTGCCCCCCCTGATCCTGCGCATCCCGAAGGTAATACTCGTTGCGGTTTCCGCGCCGTCTTCATTGCTCCGCTGAGCGAGGCCATTCCGTCCGTCCGTCCCGCACGACTCGCGAGTGATCCTGCGCCGACCCCAGTCGCCCCTCCAACTCTGCTTGAAGCCGCTCCGGTCATATGCGCCGGTTTTCCGTCCCGCCGCGCCACTTCTAGCGCTCCGGCAGCAGTTGCGAGTGCGTATTGCGATGTTGAGGGAAGCGAGAGTGAGTGGGGAGTAGGAGCGCCTCGCTGTGCCGTTGCGGTTGGCGGCTTCAACTGGGAGACCGTGATCATCTAGGAAGCTCAGTCAGCAGTCCGGTCAGTCCCAGCGCGAGACCCAGCGTGTGTGATCGCTGCCAACCTCCTCGCTCGCTCCTCGTCCTCTTCCCACACCGCTCAACTCGCTCACGAGTGAGCAAAGGCTGACAAGCTGGCGTCGACTACTCCGACAAGACCGCTCGAGCTCCCGCCCTTTGTCCTCGCGCCGCTCCTTCACCCTCTCTCGCCCTCATCGCCCTCATCGCGCCCCACCTCCCCGTCCAAAGCGCCGTCATCGCCGACTCAGACACCTGCATCACGGCTAGGACAGCTTGTCTCGTCGGTCGCGCAGGCGGGAGCAGCGGCGGGCGCAGCGGCGGCGGGTGCGGTGCATGGCGCGGCGGCAGGGGAACCGAAGCCTCTTACGCTCAAGAGTGTCGAGGCGGGAGGACAGAAGGTCTGGGCTGGACTAAGCGATGGACGAATAAGGCTATACGAAGTCGGCGAGGAGGTCGACGCGGCAGTAGCTTCCGGCGTCGCCAGTCCAAGAGTCGCTTCACCCACGACACCTGGACGGAGGCCGCCTGTCGCGCCGAAACAGGTGCGCGGACTTCCAATAGCCGTCCGACGAACCCAGACTGACCGAGTGCCCGCGTAGACCCAGCTTGAGCTCCTCGACGAGCTCCAGGTCACGACGAACCTAAAGGCTGCGGACCGGATCGCTCTTCTCCCTCGGCTTGACAAGGCTGTCATCCTGTCTGGTGCGTCTGACTGTCTTGAAATCGTTGTTTCCCGCCCAGGCTGACATCGGCCTGTGCGGCAGAGGGCGTCATGACCTTCCACACACTCCCAGGACTCGCGCCGCTCAACGTCCACAACTTCCCTGCCGTTCGAGGTGTCGTCACGCTGGCTGTCGACGAGGAGGAGCTTTCGAATAGCTCGGACTCGGCGGTCATGCACATGTGCGTGATCAAGCGACGGAGGATGCATTGGCTCAAGGTCACGAACGAGGGGATCCAAAGCCTCAAGGTGCGCTCGCGAGTATCTCCGGCGCCTCAGCAAAGAGACTGAACTGTCCATTCCGCAGGACCTGCCCCTGCCGAACGGCGCCCTCATCGCTTCACTCCGAAGAGACCGAATCTGCATCGCCGACGCCGAGAACTACTCGATTGTCGACCTCGAAGCCGCCGAAGCTCTCCCTCTCCTCCCCATCTCTCAAGCCCCTCATCCCGACCCTTTACCTCCTCCGACTACCGCTTCCGGCGCAGCGACACCGCCTGCACCCGGCGCAGGCCCGGATCCCCGACAACGACCTGCGATCGCGTGTGTCGCTTCGAGCGAGTTCCTCGTTGCGAGTCATACAGGCAGCACGACGCTCGGAGTGTTTGTCAACGAGCTGGGCGAGCCTTGTCGCGGAACGCTCGAGTGGGCAAGCAACCTGCGGAGTCTCGGTCCGTCTGAATGAGCTGCTTGTCAGGCGGGGTAGCTAACTCACCTGATCTACAGTCGTCGACTCGCAGTACTCGATCGCGCTCCTCTACAACAACACGATTGAGATCCATTCAATACACACGCAGGAAATCGTCCAGGTCGTCCAGCTGCCCTCCTCCTCTCCTGCTGCATCTCCTTCGCCTCTCGACTTTCAGCCTCGCTCTCTCTTTCGCTCCGCTCTCGGACTCGAACTCGGCGCCGCGACTGGCGCTCAGAAGATCGAGCCCGTTCATGTCCCTCTCCTCCCTTCCTCGCCTGCCAAGTCCGATCCACCTCGAACACCCACGAAACGCGCATCTCGAGCGTCCATATCTTCCGTCTCGATTCACAGCGGGATCTCTGGCGTGACAGCCAACAGCGAAGACCGTCCGGGCAAGCGGACCCTAACGCGCGTCCTCGTCGTTGGTCGCAACGGCCTCTACTCCCTCTCGCCTCTCACGCTCGTCGTCCAAGCCGACGCCCTTATCGACAAAGGCCGCGACACCGACGCGCTCGCCCTCGCTGACAACTTCGCCAAGTCCGCTTCAGGTGGCACCGCCGAGAACCCCGAGCTGGCGTACGTGTACATGCGTCTGGCGTTCCTCAAGCTCGAGCAGACGCTGTTTCAGGAGGCGTTTGACTTGTTTGCGAGGGCGGGAAGCGATCCGAGGATGGTGGTGAGGATGTTCCCGGATCTGCGGAGACCGTTGATGGCGCCTGGAGATGAGGTGACGGTCTGCAAGGGCGTGCTGGATGAGGTGCGGTCTGCGAGAACGATTGACGAGTACAGTGCGTCGTGCGGTTTTCTTCTCTGTTCAGCCGTATGCTGAGTAGCGAGGAACGCAGTCCTCGACAACCTGAACCGCAACTACTCGCCGCACCTCAAGCCAAATGTCGAGTCAGCCGCGACAACGGTCGAGCTGCGCAACTCGCTCACGATGACGGCGCGGGACTGCTTGATGTCGTATCTCTTGAAGTGGCGGGCGGCGCGAAGAAGTGGAGAAGGCGAGGATGGGATGGCGGGCGATTCGAGGAAGGTGGACATGGTACGTCCCTCCCTCGCCTTCGCTGCCTAGCCTTTGCTAACGGCTCAGCGTGTCAGGTCGTCGACACGACGCTCGTCAAGCTGCTTGCCGAGCAATCTCGGCCCGACGACATCCGTGTCCTCCTCGCCGGGCCTCACGACTGCGTCGTCAAGCAGGTCGAGCAGGCACTGCTGGACGCAGGATTGTACCAACTTTTGGCGAGCATCCTACTCGAAAAGGGCGAGACGATGCGGGTGCTCGACATCTGGTCAAGGTGCGCTGTCCCGTCTCCCTGCGAGCACTCTCGGAATTGACTTTTTCGTTGCAGGATTATCGACGGCGAGTATACCGACGGCTCGTTCGAAGACGGCCTGCAGAGCATGTTCGATTTGACGTGGCGGTCCAAGGACAAGTCGCTCGTCGAGAAGTACGGCCTCTGGATGCTCAAGCACGACCAGTCTCGAGCCTTGCGGGTACGTATTGTCGCTTCGTTGGCTTCGGGTCGACGCTGACGTGCTCGCTCGCAGCTCTTCTCCGACCCGAAGCAGACTATTACGTTCGACACGCGCGATTTGTTCGCCAAGATGAGCAAGGTCGACCCAGACGCGGCAGACCGGTTCCTCGAGTCGACGGTCTTGCAGGAGCGAGACTCGGTGCGCTGCATGCGCTTCACTCGTTGAGACGAGAGGCTGATGAAGTGTTCACAGGACTCGCGGCTACACGCCGACCTCGTGAAGCGCTACATCGGCAGGCTTAGCGAGTTGCTTACGGATGCCGAAGCCAAGGCTCACGTCCGAGAGCAAGGTGAGTCGCAAACGCCTCGGTATTTGTGGCTGCGTGGAGCTGACGGTGCGCCCGCAGAATCGGCCTACGCTGCGCTCGTCGCCTCGACTTCGAACCCGCCGACCTTCCTCGCCTTCCTGACCTCACGGTACTCTGTGGATTCGTCGCGAGCTTTGCTCGACCGCGTAAGATTGAAGGCAGCGCTATTCTTGAGCGCATCGACCAAGTACGATGTGCAGGCCGCGAAGCACGAGTTGGAGGAGATGGAGGTCAAGGGTCTTAAAGGGTTGACGCTCGAGCGCGCGATCGTCTATGGAAAGGTGCGCTTGACCTGCACATGCTCCGCGCTGAGGCTGACAATCGAATTGCACGCAGCTCCAACTTGACCGGCAAGCCCTATCCCTCCTGATCAACAACCTGCACGATCTTGCCTCGGCCGAAGCGTACTGCCTCCAGTCTGGCGACCCTCTCGCTCAAGCAGACGTTGTCGCAGCGACAGTGAAGCTCGACCTGCCCTTCAAGCGGAACCGCAAAGCGTTGTCGGCGGCGAGACGGGAAGAGGAGGAGCGGCGGAAACAGGCGCTGGCCAAGCTGCTCGTCGAGATGTGCCTACGACGACCACAACCAGGTTCATTCGTCGACGAAACGGAAAAGACGGGAGAGGGCGCGATTCCGAAGGAGCGGGTTGCGCGGCTGTTGGAGACGCAGGCGGTCCATCTCGACACGCTTGAGGTGCGTTCAGCTCATCTTCCAGCAACTGTCCTCGTCTTCATACTCTCATTATATCTTGTAGGTGCTATCGCTCGTGCCGGACGACTACCCTGTCCAGGTCCTTTCGCGATACCTCTCGCGATCCCTTCGACGGTCTCTGCACGTCCAGCAGGAGTGCTCCATCCTCAAGTCGCTCGCGCTCGGCCAGAACCTCGTACTTCAAGAGCGCGCTTTCGAGCTGCAGGCGCGGCTAGGACCGACGCTCGAGGCGAAGGACGACACGAAGGGCGAAGCGGGAGGAGCGGCTGTCGAGACGAAGGTTGTCGTCCTGGACCCGAGGCGGGACGACTCGGGCAAGTCGGTTGCGCCGGAGAAGGACGTCGTTTCGCTGGAGGACGCGATAGAACTGGATTTGCGGTAGTCGGCGCGTGTAACCCTTGACCCGGTTGCTCGAGCCCAACCTTCTCTCCGCCGACTCCGCTCGCAAGTCGTCGCATCTCTCGCTAGTCTCTGGCTCACGTCGGCTGAGCTCGTCCGTGCTACATCATGGCGAATCCCGCCGTCATCTCGCGGCTGCACGGCTGCTTGAGAACCGTCGCCTCGACCCCGCCCCGACTAATCGCCTCACCGCCGGCTGTCAAGGGTGGAGCGTCGCAGAAACGGGCGAGCGTCGCTATCAGTGAGTCTTGGCTTCAGCATCCGGGTCACAGGAAGAGCTGTCGCGGCGTTCGTTCCTCGTCTCTTGACGTGATGGGGAAGGGGCGAACGCACGCTCACCGGCTCGTAGGAAGCGCGAGGAGCGTGACGCTGACCGCGTCATGCCCTACAGTCATACGACTACGACCCGAGCACCCTCCGCCAACGTCGACAGTCGCCTCGTCCGTCGCATCTCCCCACACCTCTCCCTCAACTCACCCTGTTCCTCTCAGCCCGTCTCCTCCTTCTTCCCCTCGCACCGGCGGACTCCCTGAACCCTTGAAGCACGCGCAAGCCGGCTCGGCGACTCCTTCGACCGCCTCGTCGTTTGCCGGTCCACCCTCCGTCCTCGTCCAGCTCGAGGACTTCTTCGCGCAGCCTTGGGTAAATGCGCCGAATACCTCGGTCGAGATCCTCTACATCAAGCGAGCGACACGGGCCAGCGAGTGAGTCTGGCGGGACGATGCTTGAAGGTACTGGTTGCGGACGAACTGCTTGCTTACACCCCGTGCTTCTCCCACAGCAAGTGGTCGGGTCATGTCGCCTTCCCTGGAGGTCGGCAAGAGCCTGACGACGAGTCGGCAGAGTTTACGGCGTTGAGGGAGACGTGGGAAGGTGCGCTTGCTTTCCCGTCTCGCATCTTTGCCGGCGCTGACCATCATGTTCCCGCGCAGAGGTCGGGTTGGACTTGGCTGAGAAGGACTGGATCTCGTAAGCCACGTTGGTGGAGTTCTCAGGCAAACAAAGCTGACTAGTCGCTTTTTGCAGAATCGGACAACTTGACGACCGCGAAATCACCACGTCTCTCGGCAAACGGCTGCTCATGATTCTGTCGCCTTTCGGTGAGCTTGCCGCCGCCTTCCATCATTGTGACCGCCAGCTGATGCTCTTTGCTCCCCAGTCTTCTTGCACACCTCGCCTCACGCACCGATCCCAGAGCTCCAGGAAACCGAAGTTGCCTCGGCCCACTGGATCCCGCTCGAGCTCCTCCACGCTCCGCTCGCACGCTACGGACATGTCCCAATCGACATCGCGACGAGGCTTGCGCCGCGGAACCGCTTGGCTCGGCTTGCGCTCAAGTTCTTGGTGGGCAAGATGGACTTCAAGTGAGTGGGTTGCTTCTTCCTGCACAGAGAGCGATGCTGACGACTACCGTGACAGGTGCATCTTGCTGCCGAACGACCCTGTCGCGACTGGCCAGATGCTCCCGCCGCCTCCGCCTGGGACGAGGCTGCCAGATCTCAAGCTGTGGGGTCTGACGCTCGGGTTCGTCGCTTCACGTCCGCTTTCGGTTTATCAGCGCAGCGTGTTGACGCCCTTCGCACTACGCAGCATGACTCTCGACCTCCTCGCACACATGACCCCCAAATCTGCGCCGGAAGACCTCTCGACGTACCCTTACGCTGTCGCAGCGCTCGACACCCCTCTCACCGGACGCGAAGGCGCCTCCACTACTGCCGAGCTTGCGCCCTTTGCTCCATCCGAGGCATCCATCTTCCCCCGCTTCGTGCGTCCTTTCTCCCGCTCTCGCACTCATCTCGCTCACCCTTTCGCTTCGCGCAGTCGTACCCCGACATCAATTTCCTCATCTGGGTCTTCGCATTCCGCTACCGCCGCCTCCTTCGTCACCCCTCCAACGCCGCAACCCGTCCACGACCACCCGACTCTCCCCCTCCTCCTCGATCGAAAGTCAATTGGGCAGGGATGAGCCTGAACGCGTATTATGCGGCGGTCAGGAAGGCGCTGGTTGTGGCTATCTTCTTGAGGGCTTGCGCGGCGTTGGGTGGGGTCGTTGCCGGCGGAATGTGGTTGAGAGGGAAGTGGCTGGCCAGGAGGGCGATTGTGGCCAAGTGAAGGGTGTGTAGACGGAAACGGGCTCTCTGGAATACGAATGTTGTCATAGCTTGCGCTCACGTCGTCGCACGAAACGGAACTGGTCGACGAGGTTGAGGCAAGCGTTCCTTCTTCTCTCATCACTTCCGTCAACTGATACTCTCCAGCTACTCACGTGGTCCGAAGGCACTGATAAACTTCATTTGACACCATTCGTAGTGCTACCGAGACTTCTGTTGTTTAGTTATCACACAAGAGGCGGGAGAGGGAGGGGGTGTTGTTTACGGGTAGTTGTCGCGCTCGCCGCCGTACTGGTTTCCGCCGCCGTACTGCGTCTGGTCCTGGCCATAGCCCTGGTTGCCGCTCGAGCTGCATGAGAGACAGCAGCGTCAGCGACAAAACGCGAGAAAATGAGTGAAACGAGAAGAGGGCTCACCCTCCGAACGAGCTGTCGCCGTACTGCCCGTCGTTGTTGCGGCCGGCGCCGCCAAAGTCGGTCTGGCCGTCACCGTCTGCGAATGAAACAAGCGTCAGTGATGCCGGTAGTGAGAGGAAGTGGGCGCGGGAACGAACAGGCAGATCCGCCTCCGCTGGCCTGGAAGTCAGCGCCCCTGCCGCTGCCACCGCCGTACGACGAGTCGAGGCGGTTGCCCGTGTCAGAGATGTTCGACGAGTCGTCGAAGCCCGAGGCGCGGTTCGATCCGTACGAGTTGTCTCCGTACGACTGCGAGCCGCTGTCAAAGTTCGACTGGCGGCCGCTCGTCATGTCGCTGGCGCCGAGGCCGGACGACCTCCCAGCGCCGCCGCTGCCGTACGAGTCGTCGTTTCCGCCCGAGCCGTAGCGGTCAGACGTCGAGTCGAAACCACCCGAAGCGCCTCCGAAAGAGTCGCCCTCGTCAGCGCCTGCCCTGCGCGAGTTGGAGAACGAATCGTCCTGGTTGTTGTCGTTGTTGCCGGAGGTGAAGCCGCCCGAGCCCTGGTTGCCGGACGAGCCAAAGCGGTCCGAGGTCGAGTCGAATCCGCTCGAGGCACCGCCGTACGACGAGTCCTGCTGGCCGTATGACTGGTTGCCCGAGTTGTACGAGTCGCCGGTGGTGTTGTCGTTGTAGTTGTCCGAGCCTGAGTGACGATTGAGAAGGGGATCAGTGGCGACTTTGGGAGGGGAAGGTCAAGACGGGTGCGCACCCGAGTTCTTGTTCTGGCCGTGGTGGCTGATAGCGTCCTTTGCCTGTGCGATGTTGCAGCGTCAGTCTAAGGCCTTGCGAGACGGCATTGGAGCACACACCTTGTCGAGAATGCCCATTTTAAGCTGAACGTTCGAGGAGGGTTGTCTGTTGCGTAGGAGAGCTGGGTGAGTCCCAGTGCAGAGATAGAGTGTTACTAGTGACTGCACTTGCGTGTGTGAGTGAGCAGAGTGCGCTGGGAGTGAGGAGAAGGAGGGAGAGAGAGATTGTGGGGCGCAACGAATGACGACGAGGTGGAGACGGGGCGGTGCGCGCTCTCGACTGCGTGATGTGATCCCCGTGATGCGCGCAACGGTCACTGGGAACCAAATTCAGGATCTACATGCAGCCGACGGACGAGGAGCCGTTGCAAGCGTGGGCACTCGAAGGGGAGTTGCCAGCGAGAACTCGTCCAAGCAGCGTCTCCTCGACAGAACGGCTGTTGCAGACGCTTTGTAACGTCGCCAAGTAGCTTGCAGTCGACGCTCACGCGAGAGCAGAGTGGGAGGAAGCGGCTCGACGCAGACGACGCCGGCTTGCGAAGGTCACCTCGCCGGGCACACGTTCCTCCTTCATTCTCGCATTCAGACCGCACAAATGACGGTCTTTAACCATACTGAATGCTGAAATGCAAAAGCGTCTGTACAGAGTGCTGGGGAGAGATTGCGGCCGATTATATCAGGTCGAACGTCCGGGCATCTCGCCTGCGCCGAGGTTGGGAGGGTCGTTCGCGCCGCCGTCGAATGAGCCTGTTGCGTCGCGGCCCGAGGCGTTGTATGCGCTGCGACGCGGATCAGTTCGTCAGAATCACCGTAAAACGCTTGCTCATGTCAAAGAAGGGGAACGTACGCATAAGCCGGGCTCAATCCGCTGTCTCCGCTCTGTCGCTCAATGTCTCCAGCGAAAGTCGCGTCTCCAGTGTCCGTCGAGAGTCGCTCTGCGCCGCTTGTCACGCCCAGCGATTCGGCGGCGTCGGGGATCGCGCCGGGCGTGGCGTCGCCTGAGGGGTTCCCGCTTGAGCGGGAGGCTGAAGACGAGGAGGAGTCGGTGTCTGCAGAAAGAGCTCTGTCAGTACTCTGCAGACGATGTGTGATCGCGAGATAAAGGCGGCGACTGACTGAGGTACTGGTTCACGAGGCCCTTCGTTTGGTCGATAACCTGCGAACGCAAACGGGTCAGCTTCCCCCCTCGTTTCCAGCATCATAATTTGGCGCACTTTGTTGACTGATTCCATGCTGGCTGTGTGTGCGGAAGGTGGCTTGGTAGCAGGAAGCGACGGGGAGAAGGGAGGGCTGCAGGGTGACCGGGTCAGCGATGGATCCCAGCGCGGGTTGAAGCTAGGACGTACGTTTGATGGCGCGTGTGCCGAGGTGTTGGAGGGAGAAGGAGAAGTGCAGCAGCAGAGCGAGAGCCGCCCCACCCTCCTCGATGACGACAGTAAGTCCCAGCGAAGAGTCGGCCGTCCTCGAGACCGTTCAGAGGTGTTCAGCGGTACTGAGCCGATAGTTGAGCAGTCTGTCATGTTAGCAGCAGCATCGGCAGCCTATTCAGCAGCTGTTGAAAGGAGCGACTTGTTCGACCGATGAGAAAACGAGATCGGGACGCAGCCAGCGAGAATGGCTGGCAGATGCTCATCCCCTTAGCAGCGACCTGCAATGCACGGAGGCCATCGAACCAACCCTCCCCAAGCGGTGTGAAGGCAGAGACGACTCCACCTCTCCTCCTCGACATCGCTCGAGCCTTTCCGACCCCTCCCCCTCGCTACACACGCTCGCTGAGCCGCAATGGTCCTGCTACACCTCACGCCCGCGCTTCGGAGCCGACTGGACGCGCTGGCACCGCGATTGCCGGGGGAGTTGAGGGCGCAGGTCGGGGCGTTCTTGGTGGACGAGGCGGAGGTGCGGACATCGAGCGGCGAGCAGGCATCGGGTCGGCCGGGCGCTGTGGAAGCTATGAAGGAGCAGGGACAGCGGACCGTCCCGCATGAGCTGCTGGCGCGGGTGTCGAGGTGGGCAAGAGGAAAGGAGGACCTGGAGGACCCAGGTGCGCATGCCTTTGAGCAGTGCCAGAGGACGAGCGAAAGCTGACGATCCATTCTGTCCAGATCTCTACCGCCTCGCAAGCTTGCTGCGCCTGACAGACGTGTACGCTCCGCCTGTAGCGCCTCGAGAGAAGGTGCGTTCGCTCGTTTCGCCCTATCCTGCGCCTTGAACTGACTGCAGCGTTGTATGTAGTCCCCCGAGCTACTCGCCATACTCGCCGACATCCAGCTGCAGCAAGACCGCCGCTCCTACGCCGCCCTGACCTCCCTCGCGCCCGCTCCGCATCCCTCCCTCATACCTCTCGACGACCCCTTCTCCGCCAAGACGCCAGCGGAAGAGTGGCAGGAGATCAGGAGGGAAGTGAGTGCGATCGCGAACGTTGGGGCGAGTATGTTGGCGGTCGGCACGGGAGTTTGGTGGGTTGGCGGAGGACGAAGCTATGCGGCGGTGCGTCGGCGTCTCTCCTGCTGAGCTGCGAAGACAGTCCTCTTACCCGTCGACGCATACAGCGCCTCTGCCTCGCCTTGTCGGGCGCTCTCGCCATCGCCATCATCGAAGGTTGGCTGTACTGGCGCTTCTTCTCTCGCTTAGACCCAGCGCCCAAAGCGAGTGCAAGTGCTGGGAGAACAGCCGCGCGAGCTGGAGGAGCCAAACGAGGACTTCCACGGAATTGGGACAGTCGGGCGAAGAAGCAGGAGTAAGGATTGTCTGGAACGAAGCAGGTCATGCAGTCAAGCGACAGCATCGAACGCGCGAATAAGACGGGATTGTGCAGCTGGAGAGGCAAGATGTCGATTGAATGCTAGTGTTGCAACAGGGTAGAGTGAACGAATGAGAGAGTGCGAAGACTGCGAAATGAGGGTTCAAGCTGGCGGTTGTTGTGCTTTCCGTGCGCGAGTCATGTCGTCGAGGTACTGCTGCAGCTGATCGTCCTCGACTTGGATGCTTTCATTGGCACGAGTCAGCGAGCAGGCAACGCTAAGAAAGACCGTTCGAGCGCACCTGGGTACCAAAGCCTTTGCCTCCTCAGCCTCCATCGGACACAAGTTGACCAGCTGAACCTGCTCGAAGAACTGGAAAGGCGGGTTCGGGAAGGAGCTGTAATGAGGAGCGAGAGTTAGCAGGTCCGCCTCGTAGCTGAAGCTGGAGAAGTGGGCTCACCTGCGCACGTTGGACGCCGTCTCGTGGTCGTAGAACCGCGCAAAGGTGTCGACGTAATCCTTTGTCTTGTTGTAGACGCTGCAGAGGGACAGGGTGAGTTCGCGCGGCAACCGACGAGGTGAGAGAGGGACGCACGCGTTGTCGGGCGGGTTGTCGAGCGACTCGAGTACAAGTTTGACCTCACTGATGGTCAGCATGTTCCGCTGCGTGTCCTCATCGCCGAAGCCTGAGGAGGGAGAGCCTCATCAGTCCGTGTCGAGCGATGAGGACGAGAGAAGGGTGAACTCGCTCTGCGGGAACTTGAGGCGGCTCGCGTCCTCGTCGTCGGGCTTGTGGCGGTCTGTAACGCGCGACATGGCAGCAGACTGAGCGGTACAGAGCGGACTGGGGTCGCGGTCGGAGTCGAAGGTGCGGGTTCAAGCGGGTTGCTCCTCGACCGCTACCCATACAGCGCACACTGCTGTCTGTCGCTGTCGATGCACATGCACTCCGCCTAACAACTGATACCGAACCGCCGCAGAGCGTGCCGAACCCGCTTTCGTTCCTCCCGACCTGCTCTCCTTCCTCGAGTGCAACTCTCGCGCTGCGCCTGATACGCTCGTGAGACTGGTTGCGTTTGCAGATCGTGGTGTCTATGAACAGACGGGAATCTAGGATGTACGGGTGACGTGAACCGATAGACAGGGTATCGAGAGGGGAGGGTGTGTACAGCTTGGGCGAAGGTTTGCGGGCCAGGCAGGGGCGCGACGACTTTTGGGAGAGGGGCGAAGGGCTCAGTGCTGCAGCTTGGTCTGGCGGAAGCCACCGAGGAGGGCGAGGTCGTCTGGAATGGAGGAACTGTCAGGTCGTCCCTCACCTCGGTTGATCCTTCGTTGGACGTACAGCTGATCTTGATGGCTCCGCTGATGACAAAGACCCATCGCAGGCGGCCAATCTCGACGAGGCGGCCGGTGACGAACGGGCCAGGCGCGGCGGCCAGCGTACGCGCGACGTCGGAGACTGCGGCAGCGAAGTTCAGCATTGAAGCTTGGTTGTCTGCGGGAACTTGGGCCTTACTGCCGAGGAGGCGGGTGCGAGCGTGCTTGGGGACCATGGCCGACAGCAAGGCTCCCTGTCAAAGCGAGGAACGCGTCAATGTTGTCTTGGACGACTGTGTCGGAGGGAAGGGAGGACGCACCCTGATGCTCGAGTCCATCGAGCTGATGCAGGTGCGAGCGATATAGAGGGAGATAACGATAGGGAGGGTCGGAGCGAATGCCATGGCGCCCGTCAGGATTTGCGCAGGAACTGAGGAGGTGGATTTCAGCGAATGCTGGAGGAGAAGCGGTCAGCGATAAGAGGACGCACTGTGCGTCGTCACCATCGTGAGGACGAGACCGATGCGCTTCGAAATGGCGCCGGTGAGGAGCGAGGTGACGACGGCTCCGAGGGCAGACGAAGCGAGGACGGTCGTGATGGTGCGGATCGACGCGCCGTACTCCGACTTGAAGTAGAGCGAGACGTACGACGCAGGAGTCAGCGATGAGGCGAAGCTGTCGACGGAGAAGAGGAGGACGATGAAGACGAGGCTGAGGAGAGGGAGGGCCGATTCTTCGCCGTTGTCGAGGTCACCGAGCGTGAGCTTCGTCGACGTCGTGACGGCTTGAGGCGTCGAGCTCGCCGTCCTGTCGATCAGCGGACGCTTCGCGATGAGCGGCTGCCTTTCGTCGCTTGTCCGCTCCTCCTCGACGTCCGTCTCCTCGTCCTCCGACGTCTCAGGCGAGTCGACCAATCGCTGAGGGAACTGCGGGTGGTCGAGCTCGGTGTAGGGCGTCATGAACAGGCTGAGGGCGACTTTGACGAGTCCGATGCATCCGTACGCGAGGAAGACGAATCGGTAGGCCTCGTGTGACGAGGCGCCCTTTTCGAGGTGCGAGATGACCGCTCCCGAAACCAGCGAGCCGAGTGCGAGACCGACGAAGCCGAGGATCTGGTAGTGCATCAAAACGTAGATCCGGTGTTCGGGCTGAACGAGCTGGCTGAGCATGCCGACCTCGACAGACGAGAAGGGTCCAACCTCGTTGCCTGACCTGAGAGTCATGACCGTATTGTCAGCGTTGGCTACGACGCTTGTGGAGACGGTGAGCAGAAACGAGAAAGCGGAGCGCACGGCGAGATCACTCCGAAGGTGGCGGCAAGGAGGAGCACGATAAAGCGTCCCGAGAGAGCGAGGGGGACGTGTACGCACGCCGCTCGCCGCCATCATGGCCGACCCGACCGCCAACACCCTCCTCCTCCCGACGCTGTCTGCGATCCAGCTAATCGACAAGGCAAGTGCGACGTCGCCGAAAAGTGTCAAAGAGAGGAAGAGTCCGACGTTCGGGTCGGAAAAGCCGAGTGCCGTGAGGTAGAGGACGAGGATTGGTGCGATCGCGCCGAATCTTTTCGTTGACGAGGGTCGTCAGTACGAGTCGGGAAGAACGAGGGGAGGACGACGCACCCGACCATCCGTATGAAGCGCGAGACGATGAGCAGTGCGACATCCTTCGGCGAGTGAGCAGCCTTCAGGTGCGCAAAGCCCAGCTCAGTCGACAGTTTCCTCAGCACCGAGACCATCGCTGTGTCCGTCGGGAGGGAGATCGCTTCGAGAAGGAAGAGCACGGAAGAGAAGCAGGCCACGAGCTGACCGAGAGCCAGAGAAGCAGCACGAGGTGGATGAACCGGCGACACTTTCCCGCGCCCGCCCCGCAGAGTGGCTAGCGTTACTCGGCGCGCCCGAAGGCGAAGGTTCACGGAGGTTCACGGCGGGGTAAGAGGAGGTCAGACGCACCAACAACTCCCGAGGGTGAAGGGCGCGAGGTGCGGCGTCAAGGGCGATATGTACGAGTATTGCAGAGCTTGAATACGTTCTAGTGCTCGAGACGGGCAGTCTTGAAGCCGATAAAGAGACAGATGTCGTCTGCGAGGCGGAGAGGAGGTCAGGGCAAGTCCGCGCAGAAGGCCGGAGCCGTTGGGCGTCTGGGGAGACAGGAGTGTCGGACGTACAGAGGATCTTGATGGAGCCCATGAGGACGAACGACCAGCGGATGTAACCCATGCTGACCAGGGTGAGCGAGAACGTCGGGCCTGGCGTCGTCGCCAAGGTCCTGACGACATTGATGACTGCCGCAGGAGAGAGGTCAGTGCTGGAGATGCTGCGAGGCGGATGGATCCACGTACTACCGAGGAAGCGAGTACGCTGCTCGTTCGGAATGACAGCAGCGAGGAAGGCGCCTGCAAAGAAGGAGCTTAGCAGGGAAACCCACCTCGAACGGCTGAGGGAAACCCACCTCGAACGCTTCCGTCCATCGTCGCCAGGAACGCGCGAGCCGTGAAGACGGTGAGGGCGATAGGAAGAGTCGGTGCCAATCCAAGTGCGATCGTAAGGAGCTGCGCCGGAGCTGTCGACGCGAGTGAGTCCAAGAGCGTGCTGCTTCTGGCGGGCAACGCACCGTGTGTTCCCACCATCGTGCCAATGATGCCGAGACGCTTTGAGATGGACGCGGCGGCAAGCTGCGAGAAGCAGGCGATGATGGCCGTGATGGAGAAGAAGTGCGCGATGAGGTTGACGGGCGCAGCATGGACGGTGCGGAGATAGTACGAGATGAAGGAGAGGGGTGCGAGACCCGAGGCGAACGAGTCGAGGGCGAAGATGAGGCAGAGCGTGACGAGGCGTCCGACGGGAAGGCCAGGGTGCGAAGGGTTGACTGCAGGAGGGTCGAGGATAGGGTTCGCCTCGCGACGCTGGCCCTGCAGGAGCGGCTGGCGCTCGCTGTCGCCGTTCTGCTGGGCAGACGGCGCAGGAGCGGCAGGAGCAGGTGCGCGAGGACGGTCGACTTCGGCGTGGCGAGTCATGAGGAACGAGATGAGGACCTTGATAGCAGCGATTGCTGCGTAGGCCGTGAAGACGGCTCGGTAGGCCTGCTCCGTGGTCTTGCCGTAGCGTTCCATGCCGCCGACGATGACGCCCGTCAGGTTGTTGCCGACGCTGATTCCGAGGAAGCCGAGGACTTGGTACCACATGAGGAGACTGACACGGCCCTCTGGCTCGGTCAACCCGCTCAGCATGGCCTGCTCGAGTGCGGAGAAGGGTCCAGTCTCGTTTCCGCTTGGCGAAACGATCCCGACGATGGCGGAGACGAGGAGGACGATGTAGTTGCGCGAGAGGGCGAACGCAACGCCCGAAGCGCACATCAGGAGCGATCCCAGCGCGAGCATGCGACGGCGGCCGAATGCGTCGGCAGTCCATGTGACGAAGAGCGAGAGGAGGACGTCGCCGAGGAGAGTCGCAGAGAGGAAGAGACCGACAGACCGGTCGGAAAAGCCAATCTCGCGGAGAAAGATGATGAGGACCGGGGCGAAGGAGCCGAAGCTGTGTGTTGCAAGGGTCAGCGCGTCGGTCAAGCTGAATCGTGAGAGCTCTGGGACTCACCCGGCCATGCGAATGAATCGGGAGAAGAAGAGTAGGGAGACGTCGCGCCTCGAGTGCGACCGCGCGATGTGGCCGAAGCCGAGTTCCTCGCCAATTTTGTGCAGCCAGCCCATCGTCTGTCGCTGTCTGTCGAGGAGAAGTGAAGGGTCGAAGGTCAAGCCAAGTTTGGCCGTCGACGTCGACGAGACTGGTCCTCTCGCTTCTCTCACAACACCGCTGGCCTGCTTCGCGCTGCCTGTATCGCCTGCTGCCGTTCTGACTGTTCACCTGCGCTACAGCAGCAACGCTCGCTCGCCGTCGCCGCCCCGCCTTTTCAAATCCGGGTCTTCATCAGGTCACGGAACGTGCGGTGGTGGCAGGCATTCTCGCGGGCCTACTGCGCCGGCAAGGCATAGCAGAAGATGTGGTGGACGGATTGGTGCAGCCAGGACGTCCGGCGAGGCCGTGTTGCTGGCTCTGTCTGCCGACCAACTCCTCGGAGATGCCGGTGTCAACACCTCGCTGGCCTGCGGTGCCCTTCTCTTCTTGGGGCTCGATAAGCGCTCTCGCGCTGCACTCACCGCCTGATCTTGTCCCTCCACCTGGGGCGTGCCGATGCGGGCGACTCACGCGCCGACGTACACCGACGAACAGCTCGCTTATCTGGACTGGTACAACTCGCACGTCCAGGCCTTCTTCTACGCCGGACTCTTCTCCTACGTCCTGCTACTCGGCCTTGCCAACTTCCTCTCTCGCCTCCTCTCTGCCGCCTTCGTCCGACGCTTCCACACCCTGCACCCGTCGCCGATCGACCAGAAGGGGCTGGTTCGGCTCTTCTCAGCCTGCGTTGCATCATGGAGGAAGTGTACGTATCGGCGGAGCCAGCTGGTGGTCTGGGTTGGACTGGGTAGCGCGGCGCAACTCGTACGTCCGCCCTCGAGCCTTTAGGCCGGCAAATAGAGCTGACGGCCCCGTCCTGCAGTTCGTTCTCCTAGGGTACCTAGCGATGACATTCAGCATCGCCTTTTCTGGCGCTTATGGTTACCCAGACTATCAGGTGCGAGTTCCGAACGTTTCACGCTCGGCCGTCACGCTGACGTTGCTCAAGTACAGGCGCATCATTGTGCAAGGCTGGCCTATGCACACGTCCCCATCCTCGTCGGTCTCGCTTCGCGCGAGGCAGGAGTCTTGGCCTGGCTGACGGGTTTCAGGTAGGCCCGTCGCCGCTGAGAAGAGCAGAGTCGATAGCTGAGCGCAACGTCTTGCAGCCCTTCAACCTTGCTCAACATGCACCGCTGGATGGCCCGCACCGTCTTCTTCCTCGTCTGCTGCCACATCGGCGGGCGGGTGTACACGAATGTACCGAGTGCGTCCGCCTGCGCCGCTCTTCGTTTCGATCTCCAGGCTCATGCTCGTCAGGACAGCCGTCAACCCTTCCCTCCCTCACATGCGCTATCAAGCCTGGGGTATAGCCGGCCTCATCTTCTGGTCCATCATGGTCTTCGGTTCAATCCGCCCAATCCGCCGCCGCTTCTACAAGTCGTTCATCTTCACGCACATCTTCGCCTTTGCTCTCTCCATTATCTGCCTCTCCTTCCACCGCCCGCAGGTTGCGCCCTACCTGGCCGCAGCAGCAGTCGTCTACATCCTCGACCGACTCGTTCGCTTCGGCTCGCTCGTCTACTTCAACCTCTTCCGTGCGGTCGCGCTGGGGCAAGGACCGACTGCGACAGTCGCGGTCGTCGGAAAGGACGTCATCAAGGTGCAGGTCTCGACAGGACTTGCTTGGAAGCCGGGTGAGTGTTCCGTCCTCAGTCCGTCTCCTGGATCCTGACGGATTGGGTTGCAGGCAAGCACGTCTACCTGCACGCTCCGCTACTCGAAGCAGGCGGGCACCCTTTCTCGAGCAAGTCCTGCGCCTCAAATCTTGTTGACCTTGCGTTGACCTTCCGCTGCGCACAGTCGCCTCCTCCTACCTCCCCGTCTCGCACCTCGACTCGGATCCGAAGCCTCGAGCCGGCGTACTCGCACTCGTTATTCGCGTCCACAGCGGTCTGACGGCAAAGCTATACCAGCATGCGCTACGTGGTCAGGAGAACGGTGCGGATGGCGAGAACAGCTCAACACCTGTGCCGATCTGGCCTGTCTTCGTCGAAGGTGAGCTCGAGATGACTAGATCGTCGATGCATCAACTGACCAATCATCTGAGCAGGACCTTACGGCCACGACCTCCTGCTACACCGCTACGAATCGGTCCTCCTTATCACGGGCGGTACAGGCGTCACGTTCGCCCTCTCATGCTTGCTGGACCTTGTACGTCGAGCGAGAAACCGGCACCTTGGCGGTACTAAGCCGCTCGTCACGAGTCGCGTAACGTTCGTCTGGTCCGTCCGCAACTCGGGTGCGTCAAGCTCGTGTCCGAGGTTCACAGGCACAGCTCAAGACTAAAAAGTCTGCCAACTAACGTCGTGCATACGCAGGCGACGTCAACTGTATCGCCCAAGAGCTGCGCGAAGCGATCCATTACGCACCTCCCGGTTTCCTCGACGTCCAGATCTACATCACGTCGGCCGGCCGGAACCTCGAGGTAGTCGACACTACCGCCTCGTCTAGATCAGGCTCGTCGTCCTCGATGCTCAAGCGGGTTCCGACCTCGGCAACGCTTTCTATCGAGAAGGAAGTCCTGCGCCCGCACATCTCGAACCGCTCGACCGAAACCCTCATACCGCGTTACGACCAGCCTCACGCTATCACGTTTAGCCGCTCAATATACGATGACCTTGCCCGGAGTCCTCCTCCGGCGCCAACCTCGATCGACTTTCTCGACCAGGTCCCCCTTCTCAGCCACACCACAAACACGTCGACAACCTCTACTTCGCTCGACTCGGTCGTCATTCCTCTTCATACCGGTCGGCCTCGCATTCGCGACATCGTAGCAGACGTCGTCGCGCAGACTCCGCGCGCCGGCTCGGTCGCAGTCGGGACTTGCGGACCTGTCGCGCTCACGGACGAAGTAGGCGCAGCGTGTAGCGACAGGATCGATCCGGGCAAGGTGTCGAGGGGCGAGCACAGGCTGAACATTGTGAGTCCTGCCTCGTTTCGCTTTTGCATCCGTTTCGAGGCGTACTGACCATTCTTTCATGCTAGATGCTCCACTCGGAGGTCTTCGGGTGGTGAGGCTTGCTAGACGGTGACATAGACTCAGAAACTCGCGCCAATTCTCTGGCTCGACTGACAGGGCAGAGGAAAGGCTATTGCAACATGAAACCGATATTCCGAGATAGAGATTGCGAGTACGGAAGATGCGAGTGAAGAAGCCTGACCGACCTGTTGTAGCCGCAAAGCGCCCTCAAATCTGCCCCTTCAAGTCCGCCTTCGCCGCCTTGACCAAGACCTCATTCAGCGGGACGAGCGCAGCCTTCGAGTCGACTTGTCGGTCTGACAGCGCTGTACCGGCTGGCGCATCCTTGAGGAAAGCGGCGTTGTTGGCCGAGAGGAAATCGAACGCTTCTTGCTCCGAGTCGAAGGAGAGCTGCGTCGTGATGAGGCGGAGCGGAATCTGCAGATAGCTGTGGGGCGTGGCATCGTCAGCTTTGTGGACTGACCAGACGCAGCTGCGAGAGTACGCACGCCTTGCACATCGTTACGAGCGCCGTCACCCTCTCGCGCGGTACAAAGTGGTCCATGACGTAAGCTCCCATCTTGGGCGCGGCGTTGAACAAGCGGAAGAATTTAGTGTAGTTGCCCTGCGAGACGGCGAGGCGGACTGCGAGGGCGTGCGAGACGGACGGGTCGCGCGTCTCTTCGGGCGTGAGTTCGGCGAGGGTCGTGTTGAGTTCTGCAACCTCGGATCGTTAGTGAAACCCGATGGGAGATGTTGAAAAAGGGACGCACCTGCGCGATTTCGAGAGAAGAGGAGGTAGAGGATCCGGTAGCCAAGGAATTCCATCGGATGGCCATTGAGTCCGAGGCGGTAGAGCTGTCGTAGCCGAGACTGACACTGGTTGAACTCGCCGAGATCTCCCTGTGGGAGTGCAAACGTCGGCATGCGTAACGATAGTCGAGGATGGGCCATCGCACCTTCTCGAGCGCTATCCGGGCGTGGATCTCGTACACTTGCACGGTGAAGTCGTTCGTTATCCGCTGGACCTGCGCCACGCGGTCACTTCGGTCAAGTGGATCGACAAACCGCGAGCAGCGAACGTACGATCAAGTCTTGCCGCATGCTCTTGAACTGGTCGCAGATGTAGTTGTAGTTCCCCTCCTCCCTCCACTTCTGCTTAAGCAGGTCGAGCGTCTGTTTCAGGATCTCGAGTGGTCGGATGGTGTTTGGATCGGGTAGCTGCGCAGGGAAGAGGTCAACGAGGGAGAGCGCAGCGAGGGGATGCGGACGGACTGATGTTAGCCGCAAGTACGGCTTCTCCAGCTTCGTGCTCTTCCCGACGATCGTATACCGGTCCCAGTCGATGACGTTCTGCGGGAGGAGAAGCAGTCAGTCCACCTTTCTGGCGAGCTACAGTCGAGCGAATCCCGCACGCACCGGATCGTACGCCGCGTCTGGCTCAGGCGTCGCCGAACCGCTGCTGTATTCGCCGTACGAGTGCACGCCTCCCTGTACTAACCGTCCGACATTGCCCATCCGCGCCGCCAGCGAACCTGTCCCGTTCGTCACCGCTGCCGCCTCCGCCTCGAACCGCCGCGCGCGCTTTTCTCGTCGGTCGCGCTCGTCTGAGAGTCCAGGCACAACGCCATGAGATGCTGGTGTTGACGGTACGAAGGCTCTGCGAAAAGTGAATGATCAGTGTACGGATCGCGTGAGCGCGTGAAGGTGCTCACTTTCGCTTCTTCGTCGGGTTGAGGCTGCGCGTAGAAGGAGAGGGATTCGTCAGCATCGCCTGCGGCTCAGTGAGCTGCCTATAGGTCCCACAAAGCCACGCTTGACCCACCTCTCCAGCTTGAACTGCTTCCAGTCCGTACTCCACATCGTCCCCGACTCGAAGGCCTTGTAGATGGCTTGCTTGAGCTCTGCCTCGACCGCTGCCCGATTGGCGTCCGTGCATTTCGCGAAAGTCTCGTTGACGAACTCCCTGTTCGACGAAACCGATGAAGAGAGAGTGCGCCGTCAGCGCGCGTTCGGATGGTCCGCTTAGTGATCCAATCACGCACTTGAGTGCTGGAGGCCATTTTGAGGACGCCATCCTGCCAGCCGAGCCGTTTGCGAGCGAGAGAGGGAAGAGGTCGAGGAGGTGAGGGTGGGTGGGAGGTTCAAAGAGGCGCCGCTGCTGGCCGAGGACGGTGTGGGCCCCTCGAGCGAGTCAAGCAGTACTCTGCAGCACTCTAGCAAGTAGAACGGGTCGCAGACAGCGAGAGGTCAGACTCGACTCCGTCACTCTCCCCTCTTGCCCTCCTTCCTCTCACTCGACGAGGGCAACTCGCTCGCACGGGGCTGTGCTATGTCCGACACTGCTGGGAAGAAACGTGCTGCCTCCGAGGACTTTGACTCATCCGCCGCCGACGCTCGCCCGCCTCCCAATCTCCGTTCAGGCCCCTTTGTTCCGCCGGACGATGCGGAGGAGCCATCGCCAGCGAATGAGGTTGTGAGGAAGGCTGAGGGCTGGATCGAGAAGTTCGAGTCGAAGGTCGATGCAGATGAGCATGTCGTGCTGCAGACAGGAGAAGCGAAGGGACTCGTTGAGGACTTGAGGAACCTCGTCGCCGGCTGTGAGTCCTTGCACGTCCTGCTTTGACGGAGCGCACTCTTTGAACTGACTCGTTGCTTTCACAGTCCGTTCAAGCCCCGCGACGAAGGATGACATCGCCGATGTGCTCGACCGCCTCGACGAGATCTACCACTATGTTGTCCCCACCAAGCGGCTTCCCTACTCTCCGCCTCAGCACCAATCTTTGCCTCTTCGCCTGCCTGCCTATGGCCTCCGCGCGTCCCCCCCGCAGCAGCCTTCCATCTTCCAGCAACTCCCGTTCGACGTTCTTCGCCTCGTGATGCTCGAGCTTCGGCACCTACACGAGACGGAGGCGGGCAAGCGAGGGCTGACGGATTGGCGCATCAACGACTGGCAGAGGACCGTTCGTGGATTGAGGCGCGTCAGCGCAAATATGAAGGAGGTTTGCGACGCGATTTGCAAAGCGGAACTCGCCGTCACTGCCGTCGAGGATTTGCCCCGCATCGCCGCACGTATGACCAGGACGCCTCAGTATGCCGAAGACTTGCGTCGCCTGGAGATCTACCTCCGCGACCTCGACCAGCTCGGAAATCGCTCCGGCACCGATGCCGCCTTCTCCCTCCCCGACGTGATACGTCTCAGTCACAACGTTACGGCCCTCAACCTCGCAGGCGACAGCATTGATCCCGACTTCTCGGAGTCACTCCGCTTCTACCTCTCGAGACGAGGATACTCGTTCGACGAAATGACAGGCGGCGTCAGCGTCCCCGACACCATCGTTGCGCTCCCTTACCTCCGCCATCTCAGCTACGGCGCCCCTTGTAGCGTCGCCGATATTGTCAAGTTCATCACCGAGATCCCGACTCTCACCTCGCTCGACATTCGCGGTCTCGTCGATCACGATGCTAATCCCGAGATAAGGCCGGCCTCTGCCTCCCTCCGTCGACTGTGGATGCCCGGGGTTGCCGTCCCGCCAACCGTCCTCGCGAGGTTACTAGGCATCTCACCGCCGACCGAGCAACGCCAAGACGACGACGACGGAATACCTCGTCCGCAACTCCGCTCTCTCGCCTTCACCTTCGACCCGGAGAACACCGTGCCGCACACTGGCGCGAACGTGGAAGCCGAGATAGACGCCCTCCTGAACCTCTTCGGCATCATCGGACCTCGACTCGTCGAGCTCCACCTATCGCTCCCCGGCGCCGACGAGAACGGCTCGCTCTCTTTCCTCGGTCCGCTCGCAGCTATTCTGCCACTCCCTCTCCCAGGCGGTGCGGGTGCTCAGCCCGGTCCAGCCGGCGGCGCGGGCGGGCCTGCGATGGCGGCTCCTCAGAACGTACAAGGCGCAGGTGCGGCGGCAGGTCCATGGAACACAGCAGCCGCACAGCAGCGCGGTGTCCTTGCGCGACGAGGTGCGGGGACGAATCGGACTGCAGGCCTGCCTCCAGTGCGAACGCATCAGGCAGCAGCGGCGGCTGCAGCAGGCGCAGCGCAGGCGCCGCAGAATGGTCCGCATGTTCCGCATCCGAATAGGCAGCCTCCAGCAGTCGGAGCTGGAGGGGGAGCAGCGCCTGCGGGACCGGCGCCTCAGCCGCAGGCCGGGGCGGGAGGAGCGGGAGGAGGCCGAGCCAATCTCAACCAGCTCTTCGCGGTGCGAGCCGTACGACCCGAGCACTTCTTCTTCGCCGAACTCCTCCAGCATTGCCCGAATCTCGAGCATCTCGAGCTGTATGGGAGGCGGTACAACGCCGGTCTCGTCGACGTTCTGCGGACCTTACCGCTGCGACATCTCGCCTTGTCCGTCCCGAACAACGAGGAGCGCGCCCCGTTCGTCGAGGGTCTCCTCAAGGCATTGGAGGAGGGAGTATGGCCGAACCTGCGCAGGTGAGGTCCAGCTCGTTCCTCAGCTGACGAGCTTCTCACTGACTCTCTTCTCTCCGCAGGCTTGAGCTTAGCGGCCGTGGCGGAGATTGGGCGCCGAGCGAGCGTCGCCAGGTCAAGGATGCGGCGGAGAAGCGTCCCATGCTCGAGTACCGGTCGACGGACCTCAAGCGGTAGGAGGCGGGTAGGCCATGAGGGACGATCAGCAGGAGTTTTGCTTGGACCCGTACACTCTGTCAGACTTGCGTCCCTGTACACTCCGTCCCGCTTGATGGCCAAGTCCTTGTAATTCTCAACATCTCGTCTACACGCTCATCGGAAGCCCTTCTCCTCCATCGAGTCGTCTCCACCTTTGGCTTCCCTCTCGAACAGCGCATCAAACTCCTTCCTCCGCCTCTCACGCTCAGCCTGGTTGTCCCGCTGGCTCATCAAGTCCCGCTCGTTCCTGTCGTACGCTTCGTTGCCATTGTGAGCGTTCGGAGGCGGCACGTTCGCTCGGCTGTTGGCTTCGCGGAGGGTGTCCCACTTCGACGGCGGGGCAGCGCGAGAGCGGCGGAGCTCGTCCCAGCGGGAAGACTGCTGGTCGGAAGAGGGGTAGCGAGACGTGGCGGCGGAAGTGATGGGGTCAGAGAGGTTCGCCGGAAGCTGGTCTTGCGGCGGAGCTGCGGAAGGAACCGAGTGAGCGAGAGAAGCTCGAGAAAAGATGGCCAGGAGCGCACCTCGGTCCGAATAGCCGACGCCCTCGTTCATTGTCTCGCGACTCAGCTCACGTTCCGGTGCGCTGTAATCGACACCTCCGCCGCTGTCATCCCGTCCAAGTCCGTCTCGCACGCCATCCTGCCTCGCCGTTGGTCCACCGCTCACGTTCGCCGCGATGTCAACCTTCCTGCCCGTCATCCGAGAGACTTCGTGCGCCGCCCGCTCGATGGCTCGCTGCGTGCCCGCCTCGATCGCCTCCTTGCGACCAGACTGTTCGAGGATCTGGCTCGCTCCTCGCTTGCCCGACCAGACGCCGATCTGGGTACTGGAGCGCGCAAGTGTCAGCGATGGACTACTCGTCGAGAAGAGCGGAAAACGCACCCAAAGACCGATCCAGCGATGCCGTAGCCAATCGCTTTCCCCAGCATAATGGCCTTGCCTCGGCCTGCAGATTTGGCCGCCGCGTCTCCCGCCGTTTGCTGGCCCTGTTCCTCAGCCGCCTTCCTTGCAGCCTCCATCTGCTGTCGAAAGCTGCCTGCACCGGACTCGGACGTCGGGAAGAACAACCTCGGGAGCTGTCCCGCCCTCAACCCGCTCCGTCCCGCCGTCCAACGCGAGCGGAGAGCGAGTAGTGCGCCCGCCAGGGTCCCGAACCAGAACCCTCGCCGCGCGTGCAACATGAGCTTGTCTTCGGCTGCATGTGCGATCATCCTGTCCTCCGGGGAGAGCTCCTGCGAGAGCGTACGCTGGATGGCGGCCTGCGTCAGGCGGGCCACGTCTGCCGGATTCAGATTCGGCAGCGACTGAGAGCCTGCTGGCGAGGCCGCCCGGGGGTCGATACTGGCCATGACGGAGGGCGGCGATGAGGAGGAGGGCGCGCGGAGAGGGAGAACAGACGGCGTGCGAAGGACTGCTGGATCGTGTAGCTGCTCTTGTCGTGCTCTGTGAGTGGCAACAAGTCCAAGCGAGGAGGTACAGCGAATGGCGGAAGAGAACCTTCGCGAGCGAGAGGGACGACGACTTCGAACATCAAGCCGAAGGAGGGGAGGCATACACTGCACCATAGAGACGTTGTTCAAACGTAGTAAGCTGGAAGGAAGCCGGGAACGCGAAAGAACGATGCGCTCTCGCATGAGGACCTCCTCGAAAGAATGAAAGTCGCAAACTGGCTGCTCCGCTACTGAGGATACTCCTTGCTCAGCTCTGCAGCCTTCTCCGGCAACCCACACACCCGCTCTATCCGCCCGAGCGCAACCTCCAGCTCCATCCGGCGGATCGAGAAGGTGAGACGGAAGAAACCTGGCTCGGGGCAAGCGTACGAGAAGCCTGTCGGCGCCGGAAGCGTCAGCAGAGAGGCAGAGGTGGAAGCAGAATGAGCGCACCTGGGCCGAGGTACACGCCTGCGTCGACCAGCTTGTTGAGGAAAGCGATTTCCTGCTCGAACTGGCCTGCCTCCTCCTCGTCATTCCGCCGCCCTGCTGACGAGTCTGCCTCGTCCACACTACCTAGTGGGCCGTCTATGGAACCATCTGCTTCGGTGTCTAGCCGGACCTGCCCGATGTGCGCTCGAAAGTCGACGAGGACGAAGTGGCCGGCATTCGCGGGCGTAAAGGGCATGTCATGCGCCGCGAGCCATGCCGTTACGTACTTGTACGCCCTCGACAGCGCTTGTCGGTTCATGGCGAGGTAGTCGGGCAATTCGGGCGATTCGAGCAGGGCGGACCAGAGAATATCGGTCGGCGAGCCCATCCGCATAGGCATGGCTGTTGATGCGAGTGCGGCCATGAATTGCTCGTTGTACTGGCAGACGAGAGCACCGCCACGGAAGCCATTGGCGCCAAAGTCCTTCGACAAGCCGTAGAGAAGGAGGACGCGAGATGGATCGCAGTCGGCTTCGCGGAGGACGTCTATCGAGAGGATCGAGACGAAAGGGCGACCGTGTGGATTGCCGTTGTAGACGCTCTTGGCGTAAACTTCATCCATGACGAGCCATAGACTCCACTTCTGGGCGAAACGGGCGTACTCGATCAGTACTTCGCGAGGGTAGCAGAAGCCTGATGGACGGGTATAGCGGTGAGCAACCTCACCCGGACGCTAAGAGCGAAGGAGGGCTACGCACCGAGCGGGTTGTGCGGGCTTGTGACGAGGACGGCGGTAATCTTCTGCTTGACACCCTCGCGCTTTCGCCGCTGCATCTCTGCCTCCATCGCTTCCACCTCGTCGAGCGTGCCGTTCTTGCCGGCAGGGATGGCGACGCTGGCGATGCGGACTTGGCTCGTTGCGGTCAGGTCGGCAACAAAGCCATTGTACCATGGCCTACGTACATGGAAATCAGCGCACACGTTCAGGTTCAACCGGTCGCACCGTCGCACTCACGCAGGAAGCAGCCAAGCATCTTCGGGATCCGAGATGACTGCCGCAACATGCTCGATCATGGGCGAGAGGCCGTTCGAAGTCGCGATGTGCTTCGGCTCGACAGGAAAGACGGGCTCGAAGTAGGCTGAAAAGTACGAGGCGAGTGCGCGGAAGATGCGGTCGGATCCGAGGATGCTAGTGCCGTAGGTGAGGTCCTGAGCGAGCGAATGAGGCTCAATTCGCGCATCGAGCGGGAGAGGAATGGGGTTAAGGGTGCCGTCCGCTCGATCTTGAGGGTTCCTTGCCGCTCCCAGAACGCCGTGAGCCAGTCGTGCATCAAGCTCTGCGTACGACAGCCGCTTCAGCCGGACGAATGGCGCAGGATAAGAGAAAAGCGAAAGTACATTCTCGGCGAGTCCAGCATTGACGATGCCCTCAGGATTCGTCTCAGACCACTGTTTGGAGTTGTGTGAGCTCAGCGTCTAGCGAGTGAAGCACGAATGAGCCTGCCTGATTGCCGAACGTCCGAAAAATGGCCGCGAAGAGAGGGGACTTGGACGACTCCTCGAGCTGGTGCCGGGCTCTCCGGGACAGCTGGGGCTTCGAGGGCGGCATCTAGGCTAGTCGTCGAGCGGACAGTGCAGCGCAACGAGGGTGAAGATGTCTGGGAAGCCGGATTGCGAGTTCGGTGATGAGGAAGAGGAGATTGAGAAGGAGCGTGTGGGAGACGCTGGCGAGGAGGTCGCAGTTCCAAGCAGTCTAGAGTATAGTCCTCACCAGGTCAGTTGTCCCTAAGCAGCGATGCAAGTGCGTGAGCGGAGGCGAAGGAGTCGAGGAACTCTTCGGCTCGAGGTTGATCTGGTCCACAGCGCACGAACAGCGGGTAAGCACTCGTGGACGACTTCAGGCTGCTCAGTGGACCGTCCAGAACCCTTGCTGACCGACTTCCATCGCGGCAACAGCTTCATCGCCCTTCCCTCCTCCCGACTTCCTCCTCCCGCTCGTCTAGCCGTTCAACTCGGCTAGCAGGCTTGCGTAAGTCGCCACTTGCTCTGAGTGGACCCGAACGCTTCCAGCAGCGCCAAAGGAACTCCGACAAGCGAATTATGCGTTGACATTGCGGTGGAGCTGTTGGTTGACTCGGGGCGAGGGACAAGAGATGGGAGAGATGAACAGGCGGTTTTGTCATGACCAGAGGAACTTCTGGGGCGATTCGACGAGACCACATCCTCACGAGCCAGCGCAGGAGCTGAACGCTTGCATCCCGCTCGCTATCTCCGCCTGCGCAGATCCCCTCCTCGTAAGTCTCCCGCGCAGTCTTTCTCCAGGATTTGCTGACCAAGGTATCTACAGTCCCCTTTCTTGCGATCCAACTCGCCCAGTCATGTTCTCGGCTGCTCCCGTTGCTGGTCAGCGCAAGGTGCGTTTCGCCAGCTTCATTGCGCTCGCTGTAGAGGCTGACGGTGCTCTCCCCGCGCGTAGTGGACCATCCGAGTCCCTGCCTCGTCTGCCAACATCGGTCCCGGTTTTGACGTCCTCGGCCTCGCCCTCACCCGCTACCTCACCCTCGAAGTCTCGCTTTCGCCTTGCCCCGAGGCGGAGAGCAAGGTCGTCCTGTCCTACACTGGCGAAGGCGCGAAGGATGCCCCTACCGACCCCTACAAGAACTTGATCACCCGCGTCGCCCTCTACGTCCTCCTCTCGCACCGCCTCACCTTCCCTGCGGCCGCCGTCAACATTGTGATCGACAACCAGGTTCCCTTCGGTCGCGGTATGGGTTCATCAGCAGCGGCAGTTGTCGCAGGTGTCCTCCTCGGCGACGCGCTCGGCGACGTCAGGCTCCCGCAGGAACGCGTCAAGGACTACGCTCTCATGGTCGAGCGGCATCCGGACAACGTCACCGCCGCTCTCTGCGGTGGCTTCACGGGCTCCTTCCTCCGCATGCTCGAGCCGTCAGAACTCGCGCCGTCGTCGATCCCGCTCGCCGAAGTCTTGCCCGCCTACCCTCCCAACGCCGGCCCGCCTCAACCCGGAGACGAGCTCCCGCCTCAGCCGCCTGTCAACGTCGGCCGCCACGTCCGATACGGCTTCTCGAAGGAGATTGGAGTGGTTGTCGTTGTGCCGAAGTTCGAGGTCGAGACGGCCAAGGCGAGGGGCGCGCTGCCGGACAGCTACCCTCGACAGGACGTCGTGCGTACCCTTTCGCTGCCAGGACTCATTACGTCGCGTCAACTGACACGCCTGCGTACCAGGTGTTCAACTTGCAACGACTGGCGGTGTTGACGGCGTCGCTGTCGACCTCGCCGCTCGACCCGAATGTCATCTGGGAAGCCATGCGCGACAAGGTGCACCAGCCGCAGCGCGAGGGTCTCGTACGTCGTACTCACTCACTCGAGCTGTCGCGAAAGAGTGTATCAAACTTCGAGCTTACCGTACCCTCGCTCGCGCAGATTCCCGGCTTGAGCAAGATTGTCAACACGATGACTCCCTCGACGCACCCTGGTCTCCTCGGCATCTGCCTCTCCGGCGCAGGACCGACCATCCTCGCGCTCGTCTCGAACGAGGGAGCGACGAAGCCTGCGGACGGCAAGGCGACTCCTCAGATGGAGGCTGTTGGCGAGGCGATCAAGGACATCTGGGCGCAGGACGGCATCGAGGTCGAGTGGCTCGCGCTCGACGTCGACGACGAGGGCGCCGTTCTCCGCGAGCACAAGTGAACGGCGCGCTCACATCGTCGCGCTAGCCAGCCAACGGATCTTGGGTTTCGACTTTTCTCCTCCGCACCTTCTTCCTCCTCCTCTCGACTTTTCCTCACGCAGCACAACCGACCACCTCGGCATGTATTCACAGCAGCAGCACATTCGCAATAGAAGACTTTCTTTTCCCCGGTCACCTTCGCCTCGCCACCTCCGCGTCGGCATACAGCATGAGCGCTGGTGTTTGCTTGGCTTGATGCGGTCGCGAGGTGTATGGCGAGACAGAAATGCGCACTGCGGGCGGGGTCGCCGGCGAGGAGGTGGACGCCGACTTCTCGTGGCACTGCGGCATGTCCGCGGAAGGGCATCGACTGCTCGAACGCTCTCTTCGACTCGCCAGGTCCTACAACAGCCGCCTAGACATTTTTCAATGCTTTTTCTTGGCTCTGTTGACTCTCGCGCACGGCTGGACCACGAGGTGGACGACGTAACCACGGACGACACCTCGAGGCAACCTTCTCACCTCCTGTTTTCCCATCGTTCTTGACGATGATCGTGACGAGGGCTCGAGCCCGCCTGGAGAAATGATGTCATCGCAGGTGTCCACCATCAGCGCTGATCGCAAGTTCAGGCAGCAGGAGAAAAGCGAGACGCTGGCGGGAGAGAGGAACCGACCGCCGCTCTCGCGCTCGACGCTGACAACGCGCCTCGCTCGACTGAATGGAAGAGATGTCCGTGAAACGATTCTGGTGCACACGCCGCGCGTCGCCAGGAGGTCGCATCGCCGCGAGAGAGAGAGGAGGTCGTCCTCGTCGCTCTTCCTGGCGCCTCTCCTCTTCTCCTCGCCGTCACACACTCAGGCCCTGCTCACGACGTGCTCACGATCCCCTTCACGACCTGCTCACTCCTCTTCACGACCCCTTGGCACGCTCTCACGCTCACAACGACTCTCGCCGGCTCTTCTCCCTCGACCGCATCATCGCTCGCGAGAAAAAGGTGTGCACCCCCGCTAGACGCCTCGCGCTCGCTTCGAGACTGAAGGACAGGTCCACAGCAGCACCGGCGACGACCCCTCACGACCCAGCGAGACCGGCATTCACCCGCTCGCTCGCTCAGAAGGTGGGCGCGTCTTCGCATGGACCTGTCTGTAGATCAGATCGCGCGAGACTGACAGGATCGCTGCTGTGCTCGGAACCGTGTATGCAGCCTCTGAGACTCGCCCGCACTCGATTCTTCGCGCGACTACGACCCATTCCGGCGACCAGCCCTTCCTCGACCTCGCAGTCTTCGCTTCTTTCCGCCGCCCCGCGACTGGCAGTACTCGCCCGACCCGACAAAGGGCCAAGTCCGAGCGACAACTTCGGTCCAGCGCCCCGCAAGTGAGGAAAAGGTGAGCCCGGCACGTCCGCATATCGCGAAGGGTCGAAGAGAGCGAGGACCGGCGGCATGTTGTCGCATTAGCCGGGGCTCTCCTCTCGCGCGGGACGGGCCAGACTTGTTCTAGCGAGCAGGCGTTGGATGGCATGCATCGCTCACGGAGAACCTGCCCGGGGAACGAGCCGACGGAGCGGGGGAGACGTCGCGGCGCGCAACTCGATCTCGTCGCGAAGAGGTCGACTTGCTCGATCAGTCTGAGCCGGGCCACGCCTGGTAATTGCTGCAGGTCGTGCGGAACGTCAAAGCATCGGTGCTGACCACCCGTACACGCCCGACGCGAACAGCAGGCGACCACCAGCGTCGACAGTCTCTTTCCCAATCCTCCCCTGGCGTGCCGAGGCCCATCACGCTTTTCTCGCGCTCCTGCCTGCTCCCGGACGACGCAGTAGCTCGAGAACACCCTTCGCGGAACGCTCGATTCTCCGCCGGACGGATACTTCGCGTTTCACTACGGCACCTCCTCGCCGACACACGCGCGCCCTCCCTTCACACTCGATTATCCTTTCTCTCCGAGCCGATCATCCTTCCGCCCCCGCTTTCCCCTTGAACGCGCGAGGCACAGGCAAACAGTATCGCGCGCGCCTCTAAGGTGCGTCTCGAAGCGTCACCTCTCGTGGCTCTCACAGCCGGCGCGCTCAACGCTGATCCCCTCTCCTCACGCCGCCTCTCCCTTCACCTCTCTCGCTCTACACCTCTTCTCGCTGTTGCTTCTTGCTCTTCGTACCATCTGTTCGGCATCCGTCTCGCCTCCGTTCTCGCGCTCGCCTCTCCGCCTCCGTCGCCGGTCCGCACCCTCCAACTACTCGACACTCTTTCTCACGCGACCGCCTCGACGCCCCTCGCCTCGACCTGCGCCGCCGCCTCTGCACCAGCAGCTCCTCCTCCTCCAGCACGACCTCCTCCTCCTCGTCCACAGCAAAACTGTCGCGCTTCGCCGTTTTCCCTCCTCCCCCTCGACGTTACCCCGCATTCCTCGACCTCGACCCGAGCCTCTCTAGCGACGATGAAGGTGCCGACAGCCGCCTCGCTCCCTGCCGCCAGGGCTACAGTCTACCCTCGGAAACGGTCGCCAGGCATCGCCGGCCAGCGAGGGCCGTCGCCGCCGTCAAAACGGACGTCCCCCACTTCGGTCGAGATGCAGCGGCACGCGCAGCTTTCGGACGCGCAGAAGCAGCTCCTCCCGCTCCTCGAGCGTGACTACCGTGCAGACGTCCGTGCGTACATGTACGAGATGCAGGTGCGCCTCTTTCCACGCCTCCGGACGAGGGTCACCCATCACGCGAAGATTGGACGCGCCTCGAACTCTTTGAGCTGACCTGTGGCTCGCGCATGCACTCTCCTCCGTCCTTTGCAGAGCAAGACGATGGCCAACGCCGACATGATTGACCAGCAGCCCGAGCTCGAGTGGTACATGCGCGCGTTCTTGGTCGACTTCCTCGTCGAGATTCACCTCCAGCACCGGCTCCGCCCCGAGACGCTCTACCTCGCGCTCAACATCGTCGACCGCTACGTCTCGAAGCGCATCGTCTTCAAGAAGCACTACCAGCTCGTCGGGTGCGCCGCGCTTTGGATTGCCGCCAAGTTCGAAGACGCGAAGGACCGCGTCCCGACCCTGCGCGAGCTCGTCGACATGTGCTGCAACGCCTACGACGAGAAGGCGTTTGTCCAGATGGAGGGACACGTCCTGTCGACGATCCAGTGGGTCATCGGCCACCCTACCGCCGAGGCATGGCTCCGCCTCGCGTGCGTGACCGGCCAGCTCGAGGACGCCCGCACCCAGCACGTCGCGCGCTTCCTCATGGAGCTGACGCTCTTCCACCGCGAGTTCATCCTCTTCTACCCGTGCGACGTCGCCATGGCCGCCTTGCTCCTCGCCCGGTACATGCTCGGCAAGCCTCGACGCGTTCGTCCCGCTTTCCTCCTCTTCCGCCTTGCTCCCACTGACCAGCTCGCCTCCCACAGCCCCAAGACGAGAGCGAGCCCGTCATTCGCATCATGCTCATGCTCGACGAGCTTCTCGGCGAGCACCTCGAAGACGTCTCTCCCGTCGTACTCAAGAAGGTTCGTCTCCTCTCGCTTGCCCACGGTCACAACCGCACACTAACCTTCTCCCTCGCAGTATTCGTTCTCGTGCTACTCGCGCGCGTCTATCTTTGCCCGCGAGTGGTACCTCTGCGGCCGCCGCATGGCTTTCCCTCACCAGCACGCCGCGCCGTCGCCCGTCACGCCCAGCCGCCCGCTCGCTCGCACCGCATCGTCTGCTTCCGCCGCATCAACCTCGTCGTCGGCATCGTCCATCGTCGACTACGGCTCGTTGACGCCCAACTCTCAGCGCTCCGAGGACACGTCCTTCACCTCGGACGAGGACGACGACGACGAGATCGACCGCGACTGCCTCGATGACGACGATGACGACGACGAACCGCTGTCGCCTCACACGCCGCACGAGCCTTCCTCGCCGTTCGACCCGTTCACATCGGCGGCGAGTGATGCCGCGTCCGCAGCCGCTCACCACGCCGCCGTTGCCGCTCACTCGGTCCGTATGGGCACCGGCACGGGCAAGGAGAACCTCCTCGTTGCTCGTCAGGGCAAGCCGTCGGGCGTCGTCGTCGGTCAGCCTCAGGGGATGCCGCCCTCGCACCGCATGCCTCTCGAGCACGCGAGCTGGGAGATGAACCACCAGCACGTCGCCGTGTACGCCTCGCATCACTCGTACCACGGCGCGCCCCATCCTCCGCCTCCCTCGTCGTCGGTCGCCTCGTCGCCCTCGATCCCTTCATACTGCGCATAGTCTCTTTCTGTCTTCGGCATACCCTACCAGCATTTTCGCATCGCCTCTTTCTCCGGCATCACGTGTTGACTGTCCATAAGTCCTCGCCCATTCTCTACCTTCGCAGCACGCATAGTTTCCTCGTTGTGGGTCACCCCCTCACTCATCTCGTATACCCGTTCATCCCCATTCCCCAGCATATACGCCTTCTTTCCTCATTGTGGCTAGTTCTCCTCGCCTCTCCCTCCCTCTCACCTATCGTGTCTATCGTTCGACCTCTCTGACGATCCTGCACACACCCTGACGACCTCCGTAGACTAGACTGCTCAGTCACGACCCTCTCCCTCCCGCACATAACCCTCACAAAACGAAGTCGGCAATCCTGACAGCGCTTACGCCCGTACTCGTCGTTGCTTCGTCCGTTGAGAGTGCGCGAGCTGGTGAGTGCGAGGAGGAGGGGAGCGCCTGAATGCGCTTTCCTCGCTGGTAGTCTCTCGAAAGCTGCCCCTCACTCGCGCGGCGTCGCGAGTAGCTCAACGGTGCACAGTCATCGCACACGATCCCGAAGATTTCACAGAACCCGCTCCCTCGCTCCCTCTGTCACGCTCCGACTTCCCTCCCGCGTCAAGGCAGCCAACCTTTCCCGCACGCTTCCGCCCCCGCCGAATCCGCCTGCCAGACGATGTGTTCGCAGACATGCGCCGAGGGAGCAGTCGAAGGTGCGGTGTTCTGGTTCGTCGGGTGCAGGAGACAGTCGTCGCTGTTCGCAACGAACCTCGGCGCTCGTCAGCACGCCAGCGTCGCACTCAAGGGCGGAGAGGACGTTTGAGACGCACTCGCATGGATGGCCGCCCTTCGTTTCGTCCGTCACGCACGAGCACTGCGCGAGTTGGCGAGCGTCTGCGACCCAGCGCGGCGGGGGAAAGTGCTTGAGTGGGGCGTCAAGGTGTGCGACCGTCGTCGAGGAGGTGTCTGCGGGTGGGTGTGGCTGTTGGACGATGGAGGGAAGGGTGAGGAGGGGTGCAGAAGTTGGTCAGGGTGCGGGAGAGAGGCGGAGGGTTGAGTTGTTTCAGGACTGCTCACCTGCGTCGATGCCATGGCTTTCTGCGGGTGTACGCTGGAGCTGGAAGAGAGTGAGTGTGCGGGAGGAGGACGAGAGACGGGAGCATCTCGGCAACAGGATGAGCGTGTGACCTTCGCACGGGAGAAGCCTTGTGGCGGAGCTCACAGGCAGTCTGGCAGCTCGATGTCACGTGTGCGAACAGGCAAACAGGGCGGGAAGGTCGTTGAGCGGAACGCTGGGCGAGTTCGTCGACTCTCCAACCTCGCTTCTCCTTGACGAACGCGCTTCTCGAGTACACTCTCTGCTCAAGCGCTGCGTGCCTCCTTCTTCCCTCGCCCGCGCTTCCAAGTCTCACGGCAGCCAACCCGTCCCGCACGACCTGACGCCGTCGCAGTTCGCAACCCAGACGACCGGGTCGCACCTCCCTATTCCCCTCCCCCTGGTCGGCCTGAGCGAGTCGTCCCTGTCACGCTCACTCCTCAGTCATTGCTTCACGCTGAACCAAGCGCCGGAACGCACCCATTTCCTCCGCCGCCTGAACCCATCGTCTGCCCGACTCCGCTACACGCACACTCGGCAAGCTGGCGCGCCTCGGTCGTCCAGCGCGGGGGTGGGAAGTGTTTCGGCAGTGCGTGGCGGGCGCTCGAGAGGGTGCGAGTCTGTGAGAGGTCGTCGGGATGCGAGGTGGGGAGGTGTGAGTGCGTTCGAGGCGCTGAGAAGTGAGGAGGGGACGCTGAACGCACCTGGGTGGACGCCATGTGCTGTGCGAGTCGTTCGAGGCGTCTGAGCATGCGCAGCGTGAAGGGGAAGAGCGGAAGAGGCGCGAGGAGAGGGTGTGCAGGTGCGAGGCTCGGGACGACGAGCGTGTGACCTTCGCAAAACTCGAGGCGAGGTGCGAGGGAGGCCGAGACGACAACTGGACCGCTCGAAAGGCAGCGAGGAGTCGCCAATGCATACAAGCCTTGCGTTGTCGTACGGCAAATCGGCGAGGCGCACGAGGAGAAGTGGGCTGAGCGTCGAGCCTTTTTCGACTTCGCCTCGTCTCCTGCTTCCCTCCCTCTCCCCTTCTCGCGCAATTCGCTGGTGGAGGACACTCCATTGCACTCGCGACGTCTGCCACAGCGACGAGAAGCCCGGCAACGTAAGGCGTCTTCAGATTCCCCTCGTCCCCGGCTCCTCGTCCTCCATCTCCCGCTTCTTCCTTCCAAGACCAGCCAGCGAAGGGAGCAGAATTTGCGCGACATCGACCAGGGCAGTCAGACCATTGGAGGACAAAAGCGCTGGAGCTGAAGTCGCTGACAATCCTGAGCATGTGAGCGACTGTCGCATCGACTTCTTCGTCGTCGTGCACGGCAATCAGTGCGCAGCAAGGCCTGGTCTCCTTTATCCCGCTCCGTCGCTGCAAGAACGTCGTCGTGCGGTGGGATCAGGAGGCGAGCAGGTTTACCTTCACCCAGGCGGACGTTCGAGATCAGTGCAGGAACGGGATGGTACCAGCAAGCGTGCTGGAACAGGGCGGCAATCGTCAGGCGTGTCCGGACGAACTCGTTTACTCGAGACGCTGAGCAGACGAAGGCAGCCGGACGGTTGTGTGGAGGAGAGAGGTGTT